TTGTTTCACATAGGCATTGAAAATTGGGATAATGTTCTCATCCAGTGACTTTTCAAGACTATTAAAGCATGCAGTACTACTAGTAGTTTGTCATGTAGGCTCCTTACTGTGTGACTGTGATCACACGCAGGACTAACCAGACCACAACAATTATTTAGCATTTGGAGAGCCACCTGAAACAGGCCAGTTACCCAATTTGGTCCATTTTGGTACACACACACACACACACACACACTGCTGCAAAAACATACCATCCAGTCTTGGCTATAATGCCAGTGCATCTGGATACTTTGAACTGCATGAACTTGATTTTCAGTTTATTACTGCCCCCCAGTGGAGACATGGAGAGGGGGAGTAGTGAGAAAGAAAATGGGGGAGAAGAGTAAAGGGAAGAACAGAGAGAAAGAAATGGGAAGAAGGGCAAAAATAGATCACTCAGAAGGTAGAACATGCAAGCAAAGAGCTAGTATAGCCATTAAGTAATTTGATTGTGTGTGCACTTCAGTTTGAGTCTGCGGGTTAATGACTGTGAAATCCCATAAGCAGGTTTTACTGGAAGGTTAAGACTCATTACTTTAGCTTGCAGTGGCCATACTGTAAGGATTATAACATTTATGTCTGACTTTTTCCTTCTGGCTTGAACCTGCCATAGTGCCACTGGTCACTTGTTTTTCTTTCCTTTGCCTCTTTTTTTCTCTAACATACCTCTACCTCACCCTTTTCTCACCCCAACATATCAGTCTTCCACTTGCCCTTTCCATTTCGTTATTACTTCAACTTCTCCGACCGGTTGACTGTAAGCAGAGTGATTACACAAGGCAACTTTTCTGTACAGCTCTGTTAGGGAACGCAGCCAAAGGACTTACGGCTGATTTGTTACTTTAATCACACGGAGGACATATTGTTTCCAGGATAGCATTTGAAAATATGTTTTTTTTGACCCACCGGCTCTCCGAGTTGCTTGCTGCAGGGCACAGAGCCCAAGCCGTGATACACAACACAGTTTTTTGGCTGGTGGAGCCAGGCGGCGCTCCTGGCAACAGGTAACAAAGGGATACAAAAGGGAGGGAAATCGATTCCAGTGTGTTCTGCTAACAAAATGTCTCCTGGCAACAAACTGCTCCTTTTGTGATTAAGGCTGCTTTGCTTAGGCAAGTCATTGGACACTGCTTATCATTGGAGTGAACCACAGTATGCCCCGTGCATTACTGCTTTAAGTGGCTGTGATAAGCATTAGCCAAGTTCCCCAGTTTTGTTTGTAAAGCAAATTTCTCCCCTGTCTTAACTTCTGATTGGCTAAAGCTGCTGTACAATAACACAGCTTGCATTTATTTATTATTACTACATATAGCAAAATTAATACTACATTGTTTGTAAGAAAAATAATCCTTCACAATGAATCGTAAAAATACAAAAAGATAGCAATTTCTGCTGTGTACAGCTTCTTATTAGCTGTTGCTTTTCTGCAATACTTTTTTTTTTCTCCCTCCCTCTCTTTGTCCAGTTATGAGCTTCCTCAATACGGCAGTCGCAGGAAGCTGATCTCACCCTCCGGCCTGTACGATGAATATGGAGAAGTTGTTGTTGATGATGATGGCAGCTACTACTACAGCCCACAGGAGTCTGACGGAGAGGTAAACAGAAAACTACTGTAGAGACACAACATAAAACCTTTTTAGATGTTCACTAACATAGGCTAGTACAAGTGTCCATGTAGTGTGAAGAGGAGAAATTGTTCATCTCAGTGACATTTATTGATTTTGCACCGTATTCTTATGGAGAAAACATAACTGTGGTGAAAGTACTGAATTAAAGTACAGTTCAGGCAAATAGTATTAAAAACAAAGTATGTATTTAGTGATCACTAACATGATCTTTTGTTTACTTAAGTGTGATCGGCCCAATTTAAACCAAATTGACTATTTTTATCTTTAAACCCTTTCAATGAAATTCAGTATGTAGTCTTTAGAAATTATCACACTGGTGGACTGTTAGGCTGCTTTGAAGGTTGGGACACACCGTTTTAAAGGGACAGTTCCACAGTTTGGGAAATATGCTTATTTGCTTTCTTGCTGGGAGTTGACAAGATGAATACGACTCTCATGTCTGTACAATGTAAAGTATATGAATCCAAGGCCAGCAGCTGATTAGCCTAGTTTAGCATAAAGACAGCTGTAAATGCTAGCCTGAGGGGATTTTGGAAATCAATTCTCTCCATGTTTTTGGGAATAAAATGTTATACAATTAAGGCAATGAATGATATATGAACAAACTCAGCTGTAAAAAAACGTCAGAATATAGTCAGGAATTTTGTGGATGGAAGTGCTACTGAAGTAGAGATTTCAGGCTCAGAGTATGAGAAAAAACGAATTTAAAGAAAATGGCCTTCATGTTGTCAGAAATTAACACTAGCCAATCAGATTTCTTGCTTAGCTTACTTTCACGATTAGTTGCTGGTACAAAGGAAATTACCATATTAGGATACAACAACGTTGTGCAGGAGAGTTTTACAACGATACCAGCAATGATATGGTGCAGACGATAGCAGGAGGACATGTTGAGGTAGAATGTTAACTTTTAGGAGAAATCTACAGATGCAGATAGACAAACTGTAGTAAAATAAACAACTAAATGTGTATTTTGGATGTTTCGTTACAGTGGTCTGAAAAAAGACATGTTATGGAAGCAAAGTAGCCCAAAATCTCAAAATTGACCAGTGCATGATAAAACAATGTTTTTGCCTGCCGTGTCTCGCCTTAAACTTTCAGGAACATCAATCTGTCCAGTTAGGAAGCATAAGTGATTGTGAATTCATGTCACTTACTTTGTTGCAACAGTAAGATGACCCCCAAAAAGGGAATGGTTTTACAGTTGGTGGCCACAGACCTCCTGACTGATTGTTCTCTAGTTCTGCATTTTGCTAGTGTCTTTGTCAATACTGGTAGCGTGGGGCAATACCTGCAGCCCATTCAGATTGCACAGGTATTCCAGCTCCTCCACGATGGCCCATTCATATGTGCCGCTGCAAGGTTTACTGCGTCTCCCAGCACAGCCTCAAGAGCATGGAGGTGATACCATGACAAGGGCCGTTACATAGGGAGAGCTGTGCAGGGCCATAGAAGGGCCTCAACCCAGCAGCAGGACTGTTATCTGCTCCTTTGTGTGAGGAGGAACAGGAGGAGCACTAACAGAGCCCTACAAAATGACCTCCAACGGACTACTGGTGTGCATGTTTCTGACAAAACTGTCATAGGACAGTGCACTGTAGCAGTGCCTTTCATCGTTTCACCCGTACATGAGGCAGCATGCCCCCCCACCACCAGAGCTACATGATTTTTTCATCTAACTCTGCAAAAAAGCAATTGAGCAGATTTCCAAAAATGTCAAACTATTCTTACATTTAAGTTGTAAACTTGCTCTTGAATTATTTTTACAACAGGACATTCTCTGAATAACAGGTACAAGGTGGCTCCTAATAATACTTTAATCATTTATAGTGATGGTTTTTGCAGTTTACATGGCTTACTTGTTCCATTCCTAATATCATCATGACAACAGGTGAGGACACAGTTTCAAGGAGGTAGATTAGCCCCACACCCTTCCTATCTCCAACCCCATCCTCCACCTTCTCATGGGCCCTCAAGAAAGACCCCAGGAGCCCCAAGAACTGAGGGCGACAAAAAAAATCCATCAGAGGGTGGTGCCATCATGAACACGAAGCCTCCGAGCTTAAGCGCGGTTGCCCAGTTAAAGGCCTGGATGAGTGCGAGCACACTGCTGTGTTCTGGGAGTAAAATATCTGGACAACCTCCTACCATATACCCGCCATGGAACAAAGCCAGGGTTAGGCCGGTGGAAGAGGGGGGAAGAGGTAGAGACAGAATGGGGGAAATAAAGGGGAAAGAAGGAATGGAAAAGAAATTTGAGAGACGGAAAGTAGGGAAAAGAATTAGCAAATATGGAGGACAAGATGAAGTGACAGAAAGGTGGAGGGAAAGAGGAGGCAGAGGAGAAATGGAAAGACAGGAAAGAAACAACAGAGGTGGCGTGACAAACAATGTGTTGAGAAATGCTGTTGAAGGAAGAGAAGGCGTCAGGCCAGAGCATAGGGGAGAGCTCCCTGGCTTGTCGTCCTCTGGCTACTTTGCCAGCCAGGACGGCTGCATGGTCATTGACGGGAGTTATTTCCAGACGTCCATTCACACTGATGGACTGTTTGACTGCTTTGAAGGCTGGGACTGTTAGGTTGCTTTGAAGGTTGCGACACACTATCATTTGAAAGGACCAGACAGTTCCACAGTTTGGGAAATGTGCTTATTCGCTTTCTTGCTGGGAGTTAGTTGAAAAGATGAATACCACCTCTCATGTCTGTACAATATACATTATATGAAGCCACAGCCAGCAGCTGACTAGCCTAGCTTAGCATAAAGACGGGAAAAAGGGGGGAACAGCTAGTCTGGCTCTGTCCAACAGTTACAAAATCTGACACACCTCTAACCTCTAAGCCCTGCATGAAAAACACATTCATTTCAATGAGACTAGTCCAGCGACTCATGGCTCTAACACAGAGGGCCCCAGCAAAATAATGCAGGGTTGTTCTCTACTTTTTACCTCTCCATCATCATAGAGGAAAATAAATTAATTGTTAATAACTTTTTATTTTGAACAAGTGTTGAATAAGCCTTCAGACTGGCTCTATTACTCAAACTAGACTTTCTAGATTGTATTTCATCATCTCCCCGGTACATGAGGCAGCGTGCCCCCACCACCACAGCTGCATGACCTTTTAATCTAACTCTTGGCAAAAAAGCAAGTGAGCGGACTTCCCAAAATGTCAAACTATTCCTACATTTAAGTTGTAAACTCTGCTATGACATGTTCATATCATGTAACCTTTCATAGTACCATCAGTAGTGCTAGCAACACCCCGTGAAAGAATAGTACAAGGTTAAAGCCTGCTCCTAATAATTCTACTAACATTAATAGTGATTTTTTTTGCAGTTCGCATGGCTTACTTGTTACATTCCTAAATGTTCTTATTTGGTTTTGGACTAATATCATCACGACAACAGGTGAGGAGACAGTTGCAAGGAAGTAGATTACCCCCACGCCCTTCCTGCCTCCAGCCCCATCCTCCACCTTCTCATGGGCTCTCAAGAAAGACCCCGGGAGCTCCAAGAGCCGAGGGCGTCAAAAAACAACCGTCAGAGGGTGGTACCACCATGAACACTAAGTCCAAGAGCTCAAGTGCAGCTGCCCGGTTGAAGGCCGTGATGAGGTCCTCTGGGAGTAAAACATCTGGACTACCTCCTACCATCCACCTGCCCTGGAACAAAGCCAGGGTCAGACCGGTGGAAGAGAGGGGAGGAGGTAGAGACAGATTGGAGGGGGAAGAAGGATTGGGAAAGGGATGTGAGAGAGAGGAAGCGGGGAAAAGAGAAAACAAATGGGGAGGAGGCGGTGAAATGACAGAAAGCGGTAGGGAAAGAGGAGACAGAGGAGAAATGGTAACATGGGGAAGAAACAGCAGAGGTGGCGTGACAAACAGTGTGATGAGAAATGCTGCTGAAGGAAGAGAAGGCGTCAGGCCAGAGCATAGGGGAGAGCTCCCTGGCTTGTCGTCCTCTGGCTACTTAGCCAGTCTGGACAGCGGCTTGGTCATTAACGGGAGTTATTTCCAGACATCCATTGAAGCCAGCAAACCCCCGCCAGTGAAACAAAAGCTAAGCGAGGCCCTCAGTTTTATCTCCCTCACCAGAAGGCTCCACGGACCCACCAGGGTGGGAGACGAACAGTGGAGCAATGGAAAAAGCTGGGACAGAGCAGGGGAGAACAGTAGGAAGATGGATGGCTCTGTAGGAGATATGAGTGTTTCCTCATCAGTGTCTGAGAGAGCTGTGGGAGAGGGGAGGAGGGGTTGGGAGAGGGAGTTAGGAGAGGAGAATAGTTCCTCCGAGGGGTGGTGGAAGAAAGAAAAAAGATTTCATGACAGTGATTCAGAAACAGGAAGTGGCAGCAAAGTGTCCCACACAGGTAGCCCCACTGCATCTGTTACAGACAAGCACGCCAACACTGAATCTGATACAGAAACACAAAACAATGACTCTGACTCAATAACAGAAATGGAAGAGGGAACGCCTGACACAGGCAGAGAGTCAGAGAGTGGAAGCCACTATGAGGAGGGAGAGGGGTCAGAGTCTGAGAGGGAGTCAGGGTTAGAGAGTGAGGACGAAGGGGAAGAGTTGAGCAGAAAAAGCTCGAAGGGTAGTGTTAGTATCAGTTCGGCAAGTAGCAACAGTATTAGTATTAAAAACAGAAGCAGTGGTGCCAACTTAAAGAGAGAAAGCAGGCAGCGAGAGAGGAGCAGCCACTTTACAGTTTGTAGTGCGAGGCCCCAAACGTCTAGACACTCCCGCTCTTCACATGAAACAACAGAGGAAGAGAATGAGGAATCAGGAGAGGAGGAGGAGGAGGCGAAAGGCGCTGGGTCACGAAGGTCTTTGTCGAGCAGGCGAGCCACCAAACACATCCGATCAGACATCAGCTCAGGCGTGATCGACACCTCGGACGACTTGTCACCCATCGTCGAGGACACCGAGGAGGAGGAGGAGGAGGAAGAGGAGAGAAGCAGCAGCCATGGCGAGGACGAAGAAGAGGGGGATTTGGAAAATGAGTCGGCCGATTGAAATGCAGATGAGGCACGCGAAAGATTAAATTCTTTGCCACTAAGTAAGATCTCATGAAAATGCCTGGTTTGGGTGTGCAGTCATTACCTGGGTGGAATTTATTAGTGTAATCTCTCTCTCACCCTGTTTGCTGTGTGTTACATTCGCAGGAGTTTAAATTGCATGCATGTCCTCTGCTGCCCTCTCTGAGTATCTCCTTTTTCTAACCAGCCTATCTCCTCTCCTCTCCTTCGTCTGTCTTGCCTTCTTTTGTAACAGCTCTAGCGCACTTGTGGAAGCGGTCGACCGGTTTACGTCCGGTTTACGTCCAAGTTGACTTGTCTCATTTTCTTTTTGTGAAAGTGCCAAGCTGCGTATTTCTCTGCTGCTGCAGCTGACAGATTGTTAATAATCACTGACCTCTCTTTGTTGTGCTAAAGGTTCGCTCAAGCTTTTTTTTATTATTCATTCCTTTTCTGTGTCTATCATTCTCCCTGTATCAGTCAGTTCTTCCGGTACCTGTTATCTGCAGGGAAAAAGATGTTTTCTTTGTGACGGTGAACGTATCCTTTCTTCCATACTATCGAGGTTAAATGGAAAAACTGTGGGTTATATTGTGCACTTGCAGGTCAGTTATTTTGATAACAGCTTCTGTCCTTCAAAAGAGTGTGTGTGCACAGCAGTGTTTGCTCTCACCTAACAAAGAGGAGGTTTTACTTTCCTAGTGTTTTATATTATAAAGAGTTACGTCCAATATCGGGTTTAATATTCATAATATTATAAAAGCATTTCCCTTGCTTTCTTTAGATGAAATGCTAAGCAACACATGATGAAAAGGCTGCTTTGAATTGCTATCATACAGAATAAAATATCTGGAGCAAACACTGCTGCACTGACCGGCCTTTGCTGTGTAAAATGTGTGCAGTGTGAGTGAAAGTGCTACTTCTAGTTTTGTACATGTCTTGATTACAGGACAATCTGAAAATGGTCGCAAATGACATAAGAGCTTACAGAACCTTAACGTGAGTTGAAAATGTTTCTCCTGAACACTGAACACCCAAATTTAACACCCACATGTTCTGGTAAGCCTCGTCCACACAAAGACGCGTCACTTAGGAGATGCTTTTTGACTCAACATCAGAAGTTTAATGATCTATCTGTGTTTTTCCAGCACGGCAGCAGAAAACGTCGGATCAAGTTGGTGGTGGACCGCGAATATGAGACCAGCTCCACCGGTGAGGACAGCGTGCCAGAGACCCAACGCAGCCGCTTAACCTCCACCCTCAACAGCCATGCTAATGTTAACGGCAGCATCTACATGGCCCAGAATGGCTCCATCATCCGCACCCGACGCTCAGTGAACACCACAGGCCCCCCACACACACACGGCAACACGAACAACAACCTGAAACTCACCTCCCCTGTCTTGAGCTCCCGGCTGGCCAAGCACTTTAAAAAACTAGACAAAATGGCTGCCACGCTGGAGGAAAGGGTTCCCCTGAACAGCCCTAGAACAGATGTTGGGTGCAAGACGCTGCGCACCTTCCAAAGTCCAGGAATGGCCGCCTCTGCCACAGCCTCTTCCCTTCTCTCTAACACTGACAACAATAAAACGCCAAATGTGTTTAATACGCGACAATCCAGCGTTTCTTTAGGTTCAACCAGCACCAGCAACACGGGCACTGAGAGTGTGGCATCTAAATTAAACCTACTCAAAGCGGCGCACTGTGGAACAGACCGGCCCCAGAAACCAGCGGAGAGAGAGGAGCTGAAAGAAGGCGAGAGAGAGTCGAAGGTAGACAGCAGTAACGACGAAGACACTGAAGATGGACTCTTAATGAGGGAGACGTTGGAGTGCCCGAGTGACAGAACGCAGTCGGATGAGGAGGAACTCTGGATGGGCCCGTGGAACAGCCTCCACATACCCATGACCAAACTCTGAGTGATTGTGACCGCACTGTGCTCGCTCCATATTGCCAAGATCATTAAAGCATTCAGACATTATTTCTGTTCATTAGTTGTGGAACTAATGGGGAAGCTCCAGTCCAATTAAATGAAATCTAATTAGCAGATTGGTACTCAGTTAAATAGTGAATTAGCATATTATGGTATTCCAACTGAATTTCATTAAGATGTCAGATTCCTCACATATTGACTAAATTAAGTTAATTTATTTTTATTCAAATTTAGATGATAAAATTTTATCTAAAAAAAAAGTAACTTCTAATTGGTTATTTGCCAGTTTAGTTAGTAAAATGTCTGTTTTGTAACTGCTCACTATACCAATCAGAGCATCCCTTAAGCCCAACTGATCTCAGAGCTGCAACACCTTCGGGGAAACTGGACCTAGAGTGAGATGACTTGTTATATTTCTACTTTGCTAAGAGATAATGAAGAAAACGTGAGGGAAAAAACTGTCTATGAACTTTTTATGGCCCTTTAAGCGCCTGGTGTCCCTGTATGGAACCGCACTTGTTTCATTCAGTATTATGGCTACCGGTGTTACTCATCTGACACTTTGCATCGACACATTTCTTGTGTTCAAACTTGCCTTTTTATCCTTGTCAAGTTGCTTGGCAAACTTTATCCAAATAAAAGACTATTTCATCCATTGAGACGTGGAGTTTGGTTAACTTGGTGCTGTGTTGATGTCTTGCCTGGTAATTTAGCTTAGCATAGAGACTGAAAACAGGGGGAAGCAGCTAGCCGGGCTTTGTCCAAAGGTTTGTTTAATCTCCACAAATGTAAAAATTTACAATTTGTGATTTTATGAGAGCAACGTTGCTACACCTACGCTGTTTCCCTCGGTTTCCAGTCTTTATGCTGAGCTAAACTAACAGGCTGCTGGCTTCAGCTTCATATTCACCATATAGACAAGAGAGTTATATTGATCTTATCATTTTACTCATGGGGGAAAAAGTGAATAAGTGTGTTACCACAAAAATGTGTAACGTTTAATAGCCTATATACAAGGGTTTTTGCCCAACAAAAAATATCAATTGTTTCCTCCAGCCACTTGCACCTCTCTTGCACAAAACATATACTTTTTACTGCATTGATCAGCAGTAATCACTTAAAATTTTGGAGGATCCTGATTGTTAGACCCTAATCTCATTCTAAAACTATCAATTCTTGTTGGTAAGATGTATAGACACACATTAACTGCACATTAACCATGAAGGAGAAATGCAGATGAAGGGGATGAAGCAGATAAAAGCTTGATTACAGACTGTGAGTCAGAGAAGTTTTCCACATGTTTTCATTAGCATTTTGTTTGTCATTGATTAGCCTGAGGAGGCTATTTGAACTCCCCTCATCCCACTGGATCCCCGAGAGCTCCAATTAACAGAGCCCATGGCTCCTTCTCCTTTCGTCAAAGTTTATCATTGTAAAAGGTGGCAGAACTTTTTAATTGTGTGCCACATTACAGTGAATTGTTTTATTTGAAGTCTGAAAGAAGCAGGGCCATTAAGCTTTAGAATTACCGGGTTTTAAAACTCACATTTAATTTGATGACTGCATAATTTTGCATTAGGGACCCAACAGAGGAAGCCACACCGGTGGTGATATTTGAAACTGAGTGCTCCTTATTACCCGGAATTAGCGGACTGTACCGAAGAGTAATATTTTAAACAGTTTCTGGAAGGAAGGGCACGCCTGAGCCGCTGCACTACTAAATGAGCTGATTATGTCACTGATTCCACTGTGTTTTATTGGAGGAGATAGCAGACTGAACACGGCTCATTAATCTCTTACACGGGCAAGAAAGATTTGGTTAGTGGCTAAAATCATCTCAATGTTGAAAAGGGGCATTTACCTAAAAACCAAAGCTGATTCACTATGTGTGCCTCATCCTAAATCCACTTTTTAAGTTTGCTGACCGGTTGCATGATCAAACAAATGTATAGACACAGTTACACACATACTATTCTTCCTTTCTTCTTTTGTTTCGACAGGTTTTTATATGGTGTCATTCACGCATCAGATAAAGAAATGAGAAGCTCCAAAATATCCTGCTATTTAGCACTTGGTGGTGCATTTGTAGCTGTTTGTTAGGGGCCTTCTTCACATTTTGACTCATTATAGTACGAGCACAGGTGTGACTAATAATAATACCAATGGCTCAGTAATATTGTTGCCAGCATGCACAAAACCAGGACCTGGAAACGGAGGCAGCTGAATGGAATTCAGCCGTCATTAACTGTATCATTTATACCCTTTCTTTTCCTACATGTCAAAATGCCTTCTGTAAAAAAAGGTCAGAGGTGTGGACTCGTCACAAGACTGTAGTCATGAATCTGAGGACTTTATACCAATAAAGCAGAATCATAAACTGCAACTTTACTTTGACTTTAACACCAGTGACTTGTGACTTCAGTTGGACTTCGGTTTTTTGACTTGGAATGACTTGATGTCTATCAAAGATCATTTTAATGTAAAACAAAAATATTGCTGACAATACTTTAAAGCAATAAATGAAAATATAAAAAAAAAACATTCAGTATTTGTGTAAATGTACTGTACCTTTTACCGTTTAAAAAACTGCATTACATTTTGTGAGGGATGCGTAATGACTTATTTAGAACTCAAAACAACACTCACACTGGTTGTTCAAAGTTGACCCTCTAAAGTGAGATTAATTTGCTCTGAATGGTTAAATAAATGCTTTTTTGAACTGAAAAACATGATTGGCCACACGACTCCATCACTGTAGTTACGTTCACTTCAGCAGGCAATGTTTGCGTTCTGGAAAAAAATTGTTTGTTGCATTGCGAAACGATTTGCAATTATAGCTGCAAGCAGCATTGGGCGGGCCCTCGCACTTGTAGCTTGTCGAGGTGGGAAGTAGCTGCATTGGAGATACTGGAGCTCTGGAACTTCGCCTCCCCGCCAAGGATACGCCATTGAAGAAAAACTCACACACTTCACATCATATCGTCAATGTGTTAAAGGAGACCTATTATGCTTTTCCACATTTTATGACTTATCTTCAATGTTACAATGTTGGATGTTCATGTTAAACATTGCCAAAGCTTCAAATAATAAGGTTAAAGTATTTAAAAGAAATTCCTGTGAGCAAAAACCTCAGATTTCCTTCTGTTCAGAACACTCTTGTTTTTGTTTTGAACTGTTTTTCTACCAATGGCCCCGTTCTACAACATACGGAGCCAGACGGAGCCGGTATTCCATATATGGTCATTTGCTCTGCACAGCAACGGCACAGCAACGCTCAGGCGACAACAAAAGCCTGGTAACATGCTTCAGGTCTTGGCGATGGTGATATGTTGCCACCAACTGGGCTGGAACAAGAGTTTCAGAGTGGTGAGTTATTAATCTGTAACAAATCTATCTTTCATCCATAAAGTTTTAACTGAGCTCTGTCTCCACATCACAGTTAAAACTTTATGTCCACTGACTGCCTGGAGAGTGACTAGTGTTTGGAAGGGAGAGGAGAGGTGTGTGCTGCAGCTCTGTGTTTTTACACTGGTGTTTTTGAGGGCGTGTCGGAGTAACATTAGCCGCTTGGCGAGCGTTATATGCAAGGGGGTAAGCCAGAGATCGGACAGTGAAGCCGACCAAAGCCTGCATTGAGGGATCAGGGATCCTTGTAGGCCCAAAAATGAGGTCAAAACTATTTGACACCGCATTGCACATGAGAGATGTAACCCTATTGCTGAGACAATAAACACTCTGCAATCAAAAAAGCTATCAGAGCAATCAGAGACGCTGCCTTGGTGTTTGGAAGGTAAACCTTGAAGGTAGGCTGATTAAACAGTGACGATCCGAGTCAGACAAACACACTGAGCCATGAAACCTTTTGTTGGCACAGCTATGCAGCTACCAGAATTATAGTGTTTCTGCCGTTGTTCTACGTCATTAAACCACGATTATGCTGCGCGATCATGCCAATAGATACTGATGCCAACAGGAAGTAGCCCTGTAGTAGTATTTTATTGGTCCAAAACTGTCTTCACTGCTCTCCATTCAAATAAGCGGGGTGGCTTCATCCAGTAATATACTGTCTATGGTTATATGAGGCGCATTTAGCTTTCTTCCCTGTGTTGTCACAAGGATGAAAGGGAAGCGGCTGGACTTCAAACAGCTGGGGTAAGCTCAATCTCAAAACGTTTTGCAACATTTTCTGATTGAACGACATGTTTCCTTGCGACTTGCGCAACGTTCTGCAAGGGGTTTCGAGGTTTGGGCTGCGTTCGAAAAGTCTTTTTTGCTTAGGAAGGTTCCTAACTGAGTGAAGTGAACCGGAAGTATTTCAGTGGCAGCCATGATAAGGAAGGTGCCTCAATGCTTCCTTTCATATCTACTTTAGCATAGGGTACACCGGACCATCCTTTACGAAAGGAAAGGAGAGAATGCCATCCCACAATTCCTTGCTCTGGCAACATTTAAAGCAGCGCACATTCTCAAACTCTAATGATAAAATCCATCAACCATATTTAGCAAGATCCTTGCAATACAGAGCACATTACAATATGTAGCATGTCTACTTATGATCTGAATAAACTTATGAGAATTAATACAAAATTATGAATTTTAATATTCAGAGAATATTCATTTATAAAGCTCTCGGTTCGCGGGGCACTACCGGAGATTTAATTCACCCAGAGTCTCCGGACCTCTGTTTAGCGTTTTAATAATTATACAATTATTCACTAGTGATCAGTTAGTTAATAATCAATTATCTTAAATCAATCAGTCAGTCTCACATCAAAGGGGTAAATTCTCGTGACAGGGACTTGGAGGTAGACAATACACACACAATTCCTGTGATTCACACGGGCAGCTAATGAACGCAAGCTATGAGTTTAAGTGTTTAAGATAATCTATTAACTAACTATTGGACATCCATGATCACAGAATGCCTTGGTTTGGTCTTATTGCATATCGTTTCTTCCAGCCGGGTTGCTGGTCGGCGGCCTCACGCTGGCGGAGTTCCGTGTGTTCTCGGTTAGGATGGCTTAAAGGCCTCGGCCGGTCGCATTCTCTGCCAGGGAATTGCTCCAATGGTCTGTCTTTTGTCGGCTTATTGAAGAAACTTGCAGCCCTGGCTCGCATTAGAAGTTTGGTCGTCCTTTGTTACTGCTGGCGGCGGGCCCACGTGGCCGGGTCCGGGCGTCATTGGGAGCAGTGTGAGTTAGCTCGACGAATAAAGCTTAAAAAGAACTTGGTTGTTCTTGAATTAAAACTGTGTAACTTAACGGACTGATAACTTTTAACAAAAACAAACCAAAGAAAATAAAAAGTATGTAAGTTGCTGGGAACGAGGGAAAAAGTCGAGCGGCGCTTCGCGTGTGTGGCTTGAAACGAACAAAGAGCCTTCGCTGCGCCGGGTCGAACTTCTTAGGGCGTTGCCGGGAGAAGGAGCACGCTGGGCGCATGTATGAAGTATAAAACGTTTAAAGCATTAGTTAATACTAAACAGACAGTGATTACTAGGGAATAACAGGGAGGAATTAAGACAAAACAAAAAGATCAAATTAGGGAACTCTTCAAGATTAATTTCTTATGGTTCTCTAGTTTTCAAACATCACTAAAGGGGTAACAACAGGGTCATTACTACTAAACTAAGAGGCAAACGCCACTGCTCACTTAGCAAGGGTTATTATTTAAACAGAACAAAAACAGTTTATAATGAAACCTTTGTTGGCTGAAGAAGGCAGAGGTTGTTATTGTCTCCCCTTTTGCAGACCTGGCTTATCACATTTGCACATCAGCTAAAGAAAGAAGGGAGTGCTGTTTTATGGCTCAGCCGTTCTGTGGGAGAAAGAGTCAGGTTGAGGCCGGACGGGTGGTACTTTTGATGTCCGGAGGTGACCTGTGGAGAGAGAGGGATCGGACAGCCCCTTTGCTGTACTGCTAAGTGTCTCCAGTGACACCTTTACAGCGAGGGGGGTTCACTAAGGCTCTTTGAAGACACAGTCCTTAAGAGATGCATGTCTGATTGAGTCTCTGCAGATCCTTACCAAACCCCAGGCAATGTCTCTAGTTTTTGCATGTCAAAAGGCCAACTCCAGGGGAGGAACCCCCCCCCCCCCCCCCCCCCCGCCTTTTGGCATTATCTGACCTTACCTCCCTTTTAAGGTGAGAGGCTGGTTGATCCACTACAGATACTTTAATAAGAATCACAATTACCTTCTTTCTTATGGCTTTTTTGTAAGCTAATACTGTTTCAACACCGTTTTATGTTTCGAGTTGTTGAAATAAGCATGAAGTGTTTTCTACAATAAAAAAAAAAAAATAAACCAACCATGACAGATAAAGGAGGTTGATCACCATGTAAGTTACCATTGGCTATTAAGCCTTTTCTCTCGTATGCCATAACTTGCTAATATGCATATAACTGTCAACAATAACTGATCAAAGTGAGGATAATGTTGCATCGTGTAGCCTCATGTTATGTACTGCAGCCTTTAGCACATTCATCTTACTTCAGTCACAGATGCCGACACCCTCGCCTTAATAAAGGCAAAGATCAAGCTGGATAACCTCTACAGTAGGCGTTTCCCACACACTGATGTATTTGGGGCGGCCTGCCACATTATCAACGCTGATTTTTGATTGATTTTACTATTTAAAATGGGTAAAATCGTATTTGATGACAGAGCGCTGCACAGTGCATATATTCTCTCAGCATCTCCTCTCGCCCCTTCGCTCCCTCTCTCCCTCTCGGCAGTTAGCCTACGCTGTCATTCTGTGGTAAACACTGTATTTACATACAATTGGGGCAGGCATTCTCAATGTGACAACCCTGTCCATTATTTAGTGACTGGTAGGCTACCTTACCTGCCTTTTTGCTATCTTGGTTATTAAGTAATATATTCCAACGTGTTGTCCACCTTTAGATGGCCTGCATTACAACAACACGGGGCGCAGTGTCAAAGATGCGCTTTTTGTAGTCCATCTTCAGAACACTAGTTTCATCACGGCAGTAAAATCCGCAATCGCATAATTACGTGGTTAGAAAAGAGCAGTCAGATTCTCTTAGACCCTTAGTCCTCTTTTCCTAAGTCCTTGCGGATTATCCTTCACATCTTTCCTTGACCTTGATGGAAAACGTCATGAGGTGGTTAGGAAAGGAGATTTTTTTGACTTTTCGGATGCAGCCAAGTTTTCTCCGTTTGGTGGGTGTGAAAATGCAGTTCGCTTATGTACATAGCAGGGTGTTGAAGGCCCACAGTTTCTGTTGGAAAAAACGTTTTGCTACGTTTTGTCGCGCTGAACTCGCTCCTGTTTTCAAGCAGTTCAGAGCAGTGTTCTCTGTGGGGTGGACTTTGGGCTTTTTCACTTTGCAAACCTATTATATCCACAAAAAAGTTATATAACTCAACAAAATAGAGGGGGAAAAGCCAAAAAGCGTAATACCACCTCATTAAAGTAGGGAGCCTGTAAATCATCCAAAAATTAACATAAAATTCAAAATGGCTGACTTCCTGTTGGGATTAGAGCATCGCTCCAAGATGCTTTTTGGTACGTCTGGACATGATACACGTGCCACAGAAACTATGTATATGTAGGTGAAACGTGCGGCGGGGCTGCTTCGTTAAAGGTCACTTCCTGTTGCCAGCAGGTGGCACTATAGCTTTGAGTATTAGGGGCCTGGGCATTTTTCATGCCAATAACTAGCATCTGAACACAAAGCAGAACTATAGCAATGCTGAGAAGTGTCCTCTTGATGTGGCAGGCCACGAAAAACTATTTTCCTTTCTTTTGCTCACTCTGCACTAGCGTTCCACTGACCTGACTTTTTCAGTCCCAATACCAATACCTGGCCTTCAGCCAATGCAGAGTACTGGTCCGACACCAGTGTAAAACGAATAAGCTGTTTTCCTCACTGTGAGGAAGACACTAGAAATCATACTTTTATGTGCAAGGCAACAGCAGGCATGACTTAAACATTGCTTTCTAACAAAATGCAGTGCTATCTCTCCTAGCAAAATGGTTGAGTCTTAACGGCGCACTGCTTAGAACAAAATAATGAACAAACTTGGGAAAAGAAAAAATTATGAGCCAGTGGTGCGTGAGCTGAGACATACAAACACTTTAAACACTGTTAAGTATTTGTATTTTTATTGTGATCCTAGTATATGACAAATCTCATCCATTTAAAAATTCAAGTAAATAGACAAATGTTCACTTGACAGCCACATCATAACACGGATAGTGGATGTTAAAGGGTATATACTGCACATCTTATGGAAACAACAGAGTGCTGAAGATGAAACATTAGCCCACAGTCAGCAAACACATATTTCATACTCAGTGGATATAATGAATATACCCAAAAAAAGATTTGACAAAGAACTGTCAGCATTTGTCCAATTTATGAAAACTCACATAAGACTGTGTACTGCAGAATAACATGCCAGAAATATGAATACAACGCTGAGCATTTTACACATGAAGTCAAACATTTTTTTTTACCTATCTAAATAAGTTTGAGCAAAGTTAGGCCAGAAGAGAGTTTCTCCTCTTACATATTGAAATAAATAAAAATAAAACACTTAAAACTACTTACAGGAAATTATACATAAACGACGACAGATAATTGCCAACCAGGGCTTCACATTAAAATAAATAACATCCAAACACACATTTGTCTCACGTTAAGAAATATTACATTCAGAAATGAGGTCTACAGGTTAGAAAGAAGGAAAACAAAGAACACACAGCTCTGTCTGAACGGTGTTAGGATGTGACGAAGCTCCCGCAGATTATACATTTACAACTTAACAGAAAACGTCCCTTTCTGTTTAAAGTCAGTGTGGATTTCATATCAGCTGGCATCACTTTTATCCAGCATTGTCTTTGTAAGTAATCACCAGTTTATGAAATATGATCTCCTTGCATAAACATGTTTCACTTCTTAAACCAAAATGCAGAGTGGATAGAAGGATTACAGCGACTACTATATCAGCTTAACTCTTATCCTTGACAGACAGTCGTGGTTTCTTCCGGATCTACCTTCATTACCATAAAGGATCGTCCTACTGCCATACCATCTCTGCCTGTGAATGATCAGTTTTGACTAATTGACTAACCAAAAGTGACTATTGCACTAAAATTCAAACATCGTTACTTGGCACTGCGCAAACTTTTACTAAAAAGACAAATTAAAGTAAGAAGACAAACAGTCCAATCTTTTTGTGGGGTGTGGCTACATTTGCCTATAAAATATATTCAAACATTTTAAACAACATTATACTTGGTGTCTTAACATGAAGTTTGCAGGTTTTAGAAAGCTTCTGATGCCAAATTTCAGTCTGCCAATTACAAGTTTTATATTGTTTAAGTGTTATATTTATTCTTAATTATAGTGGGTTCAGAACACTTTTCTTTAAATTTGATTCAGGAAATAAAGTTTGTCTCTACAGAGTTTGGTAAGCCTAAATACACATTTTGTGTAAGTTTCTTTTCATGTCACAAATCAAGACCAGCTGGCATTTACTGTAGATTTTAAACTCTCAGTGAGATCAGTGTGACTACACTAGAGGGAAGATCTACGTATTAACAAGTGAAATGCCTAATAAAACAAAACTATGTTCTAAAGAGACAAAATACACTTTAAAACATATGGAAATGTTACACATCAAAACAGAAAAAAAGGGGAAAAGTGGCCCCAAATAAATGAAGTTTTAGTCAATTCTGAAAAAAACACAAAACTGAAATGAGCATTTAGTTATAAAGAAAAGTCTACAATCAATACTATCTATAAAGATCCTGCATTCAAAATCAAGGACAGTAAATGTAGGCCAATAAATGTAAGTTAAATGCAATTCATTCAGTTGATATTTTAGTGTGGGGAATTTCAAATTGGGGCTCAGACTACAAGGCCATTTCAGTTTGACAAAGACAATCCAAACTTTTATCTTGTGCTTTGCTCCAAAATAAATTTGCAACTGGGCTGAAATTCAAAGTAATAAATATGATGATCATAACAATTTTAAAAAAAGTCATTTTCAACCATCTCATAACAATAAAGTCTGTCTGTCAACACAAAAACTCTGATGACAGCAGAAGTTAAAAACAAATGTGCAAAATGCTGTTTGAAGAAGACATGGCTGTGTTTCTCCAAAGGGTCTTAGTGCTGAATTCATCATCATTCTGCTCAAATAAAGGAGGAAATATGTTTTGTTTTAGCTATTTTTCCTCATAAAAGTCCTTCTCACAAGTGTTTACATTTTTCAATTTAGCCAAAATGTCTTGTTAGCACTATTAGCATTAGGGCTGAGTCCTAAACCTCAATACTTTCAACTGCCAAGGACCGAAACCTGGAATCAAATGTCTGCTCAAATTTGTGCTCTTTTTCTTTGATGAGATCATTTTGGTTTCAAATCATATTTATTTTACTTTAGTAAAGATCAGCCACTTGTGTTTAGGTAACGTTTAACTTTTGAGATGTTTCGACTCTTTTCTTAAACGAACAGAGTTTTATAGAAAAAGACATGTTCAAATTACTCACAGTGAGCCACTGAATTTACATGACTATCAAAACATTTCAAACCCAGCCCTTGTGTAACTATAGGTATGTATTTTGTAAAAATGTATTAATTTGACTGGCAAGTTAAGATGCTTGTTGACGTAATTATTAGTGGACAATAAAGACAAACATACTTTGTGAAACCAGCCACTGATGATCCTGAAAATTACCAAAAGTTAAAGGCAGTGTTACAACATTTCAAGGCAACATAGAAGTTCAAATTTATATTGCCTTAAAATGCCGCTCCTGTATTATCACCTTTATGGCAAAGACAGCAGCATGCAAGAGATCGCCTAAACTGTTGTTGCTAACATTACAGAATATCTGAATAGACTGTCTCACTGTGTTGTCTTTTTGCCCGTCTGCACTGCCCAACGTGTGCCCTTACAGTACTGGTGAAAGTGGAACAGTAAGAAAAGAACCAAACAAGCCAGCTTGTCAGCCTCCTTCACAATGCCCTCTGCCAAAAGTGCCCATACCTGAGAAAGAGAGAAGAATTACTGTTTCAGCCCTCGTCCTCTCCTACATCTCTCCTTCCATTTTGCCAAGCAGACCTCCCTATGTCTGCTGTGTGATACCAGAAAAAGGGGAGTTGTTTAGAAACTTACTCTGAACCAAATACATGATATAGTCATCCAATAGCAAATCTTAGCCTATGTTAGCACATAGAACATCAAATCTACAGCAGGACTATATCTGAATTTCTTCTTAAAAGAATTGTGGTTGACTAATCTCATTCAATCCAGAGGCCATTTTGAAGCACTCCTACTTTTTTATTTTATCTATATTTTGGGAGATAAAAAAAACTGGCACATCTAAAAGCTTCCTACTCAGGGAAGTGTTCCTTTTAGTCTCATAAATTCCTCCTATATATTGGGAAGAGAATATGCTTTTTGTGTCCCTGATCACATTCCTGATGACTTCAATTACAACAGCTGCCTCTGGTGCTCTTGACTCCCTGTGGAGCAAAACTACAAACAATAAACCAAGTAGAGCCAGTGCTACCCGCCCACACCGGGTGGGATTTCCAATCAAAACATCTGGATGAAACTCCTGTCCATCATTCAACCAAGCAAAGGGGCTGAACATCGGTCACCTAACCCATAAATGGGGCTTGGACTGAATCCTGTCCTCTACTTGTTCAACTAACACAAGCATCAGACTCCTTCAGGACTTAGAGGAGCATATCGTAGAATTCCATGGTGTGCAGGACCCTCGCTGAAACCCTTCGCCCTTCTAGGAGAATCCTACAGGTTTAGAAGTAGTCGACCCAAGTCCTCTCTCTCTGTGGACTTCATTTGTGGATCTTCCAGTTCCTGAGGAGGTGAAGCGTCCAGGCTGGGGGGGTCAGAGAGGAGGTGGGCAGGTAGACAGGTTGAAGTTGCGCCCTAGAGGAGGAAGAGGAGGCCTGTAAGAACCTTCCTGCCCCCACCCTGCCCTCCGCCACCCACGCCTTCAGACCTACAGCTGCAGACAGATACCCTGCAGAGGATCACAGATTAGGAATTTAAAGGCAGCACCAAACTGAGGCATAAAAACACAACATTTACTTCAATCACAATCAACTGTTGTCACACTGTGCATGAAATGTTGCTGCTAATGAAGTGTTAGATTATATGAGGTGGACATAATGTAAACGATTCACTGGACGGTAAGGAGTGTTTGTCAGCTCACTGCACACACTGTTTGTCCATATTATCCATCTTTCTATTTTAGTATTTGTTGTACTAAATTGTCTAGATTGATCTGCACTTTTTCACAGATGATTCTTCTTCTTCACTCTGGATTGGGGTTACATAAGAACTATGTTAGATCAAACATAGTTTTAGGGCCACTGCAAAACAAAAAAATAATGTGTGAAGAATAAAGCTGAAAGAAAAAAGTAATTTTTTGAAAACAATGGTGTAATACCAGTTTTAAATAAAAAAGGGGGTTAAAAGGGTTCTGAATTAATTTGGTATTTGGTTGAGACAATACCTAAAATCAATATTTTACACTACATGAACCTAATTCAGACCCTGAAATGTTGTGAGAGAAAATGTGAGTTTCATTCATTACCAGCGCTTCAATAAATCCCCCAAAGTCAACCCCAGACGTCCTCAATTCTAGTTGAGTCACGCAATCCAAATCAATTCTATACATCTGCTGGCACAATTAGTATTGAGAGGTGCAACACACAGCGTACTCAGTTTATGTATTTCCATTATTAAAAAAATGAAACAGTGATGTTAGATGTTAGAGACAACATACGGTACCTCTGTTGCCCTTCCATGCACAGACAGCAGTGTGAGCCTCACTCCTGGAGCTCTGTCAGAGCCACACAGCATGCAGCTCTATCATCCTTACTCTGAGCGGGAGCGTCCACTCCACCGCCAGTCGTCATGCTGCGGCTGCGACTCGTCAGCTTCTTCAGCTCGCTGGTGAAGGAAATGACTTTAGTCTTTTTGTCTTCCCGCACCACCTGGAAGCAGAAGTACATTCATGTTACTGAAAAACATAAAACAACAGACAGAAATGTTCTTACCAAAACATACATTTAATCCTTTTTTTTTCCTCCAGTAACTTGGACTCTTTTGCTTCCTTTAATGTACTCAAGAATTCAATGTTGCCATATCCATTTCCCTCCTCATTCTGTCTTAATTATTCAAAAAGAAAAAAACGAAACAGAAATTATAAAACGCACTTAACCTTTATTCAACGAGGCAGCTCATTTAAACACATTCTTACTTACAAACGTGTCAGCACAAAATGGCCTCGAGTGTAAGAGGATGATTCATCAATAAATAGTGACATACATACAACATATAAAAATTAGAAAAAGATGAACAGACACAACAATAAACAGTTAATCACACACAGAGCAAAAAAGCACATAAAAACAGTTACAAACAAGGGAAGCAGCGATAGGTTAAAAGCACATACAGGTGTTAAAACACAACAGCATGGATTCACTGAGATGTGAATGAACAGCGTGTTAAAGAGTTCTTGCACATACAAAGTCATAATGTTCAAGCTGTTAGTTAAGCAATTTTCATTCAGCGTTACAAAACTACAATAACAGGAAAGGAAACATGCTGGAAGGAAAGACACAATGCTTGTAAAAATAATATGAAATAAAAATGATTAAGGCTCTAGCATTGAAAATCATTCTCCATGTTTAGAGCTACCTGCTCTTTGAGTTTAAGAATGAACTTCCCAGCGCCCCGCCAGCGGCTCTGAGCTTGATAGACGCACTCGTGATCCAGCAGCACCCGCTGCAGGGGCTTGGCGGTGGAGGACTTCTTAGAGCCGGCCTCCTTGGTCACTTCCTCCATCAGGACATAGTCACTTGGATTGGGGTTACATAAGATACTGTAGGAATACTTGGCCTTTGACAAAGTCTGACCAAGATAGAGAGTGCACGAGAGACAGGTTAAGCCACTTTAAGGTTAGAATACATGTCTTGGAAAGTTACAGTGGCGTATTCTTGACTCTCCTCACCTGCTGTATGATGTCCTGAGCAGTGCTGTAGCGTGGGGCCTTGATCACAGTGTGAGGCTGCTCTGGTGAAACTTCATGGACCTGGACGAAGAACATATCGTCCTCTCCTCCTCCCCCACCTCCTGCTGCTGTTACTTCTCTACCTCCGACAGTCACCTCCTCCTCTCCCTCCAGCACCGTGTTCCTCTCATTTAAGTTCTGCAAGAATAAAACCACATACAGTAAAAATATGTAGCTAAATCCTAATGTAAACCACCAGACAACCACAAGAGGGAGCCATAGTCTACATGATAGGTCACACTTGTGGCATGCTATAAGCATGTTATCAAGGGCTTTTTGTGGTAGTAATGACATTTACAGTATAGTTCTACATTATTCAACGGCTAAATTGAAAATTAAACTCAGTTAATACCAATAAACTCAAATAATATAAAATATACCTTTTTCATAAAGACATGAAATGTAGGTCTGTACCTCCTCTCTGGTTTTAAGGCAGATCCTCCCCACATATCCCTCCTCAGTGTTCCAGCTGGAGACCAGTCTGACCACCTCCTCCTCCGGCGCGAGAGGACGATGCTGAGCGCAGCGCTTCACCTCACTGCGCTCCTTCAACAGAGGAACCTTTTCTTCGCAAAGGAAGTACTCCGACGGATTTCCTGCAGGTGCTACGACCTGTGGGGAAGCGAGAGGAGAAACACGGCGACAGTTGAAAAATGAGGGGGAAAAAAGAGGGCTACTACCACATTATTCAGGTGTCATAAATCTTTATTTCTTGAGTACTAACCATGTCCAGCAGCTGTTTGGCGGTCGTCTGTTCTGTGACACAGAACACAGTGAAGGGCTCAGGACCGGGAGCTCCGTACACTGTAATCCTGTGTTGCTGCGACGCACGTTTTTCCTCCGAACTGAACAGCTGTGTAGAGAGCAGGAGAGGGGTAAGGCAGCAGGTTTCTAAGTGCCACTTTATAAAAAACACTATAAGTAAAAGTCCTGCATTCAAAACCTTTGTTAAGTAAGTAGTAAGTCTAATCACCAAAATTTAAATTGTATCAAATGTTTTTACTTTTGTACTCAGTATGCAGAAAAATCAGCCCTGTCAGTGTTTTAGTTTTATATATGATGTTTTTGGATTAATATTATTGTGCATGTTGCATTTTACCGCAGTAGATGTTTAAGTTTAAGCTACTTTTAACTACTTTCATTGGGGACACATTAAATGATTGGACGTGCTCATTACAGTCCACAGATATAGCATTTGATTTATTAATTGTTGTTGGGAAGTAAAGAGAATTTCAACAATAAAAAATCCCTTTAAAATAAATTTCCAACCCCGGCTTTACAGTACTTGAGTAAATGTACTTACTGCAGGTACATTCCACTATCAGCATTTTTGCATCTGCTGTATTTGAAGTAATATAAAAGCTGATGGCTGATGTTTTTAAAGCATAATGGAGGTGCAGAATCAAATGTAACCACAATGGCTGCAGTCCCACAACCTTAAGGAGATGACAAGTCCTACCAGTGATGAGCGAGTAGCTCCCCCTGTGGGACCTTCCTCTGTTCTGCGACTGTAGATAAACAAGCTCGACACTTCAAGAGGTTCATTATGTTGTGTCCTCAACTGGATGTGTCTGTAACCTAAACACACACAACAAAAAATATTTTTTTGACTTCGCATAAACTGATAATGTTCTTACACAGAATGGGCAGATAAAAAAAATAAAAAATACATACAACCACAGTCAAGGGTTAATTTGTCTACATTTTAGTGGTGCTCTTATAAAGACCAACCTACAGTGAGTCAGAAGATAACAAGGCACTTTAGCCAGAACCATGACAAGACACAGGCCTCTGCCTGTACTCAGTGGCTCAAGTTAAAAAAAACAAACCTCATTTTCTATTATCCATTAAAGCCTTGCATGAAATATTTGAATGATCTATAATAATGACATTTACTGCTGTTTTTCTGAACTGAATGAAACTGAGCACACAGGCTTACTCCCGTGCTGCTGAATGTTGTTTCTCCCAAAGGCTTTTGATATTTGTTGTGTCTGAGAGTCTCCTACCTGGCTTGAGGGCTTTCAGAGGCATAGTCCTCTGCGCGGTAGTCTGGGAACTGTTGTTCTCTACGACGGCAAAGCGCAGGAAGCACATTTCTTCAAAGTGCACAGTGAACTGAAAGTGCTCGCTCCACATGGGGTTGAGGGTGTTGCGGTGGATGGGTTTGGTGCGGAAGTGGCAGCTGTCGATGGGCATGCCCAGAACATCCACCTCGAAGCACGGGCTGCCAGCGCTATTACCAGGACAAACGTTCTGACCGGAGACAATCTGAGAGAGAGAAAAACAAAAGCAGACAGAAGAGTTTTGGTGATTAATGAGTGACAATAGTTACACCATATATGAGCAACACTTGCAGTTAAGATTCTTTTTACACTATCCGTTGTCACTAAATCAAAATAATTTTCAGTTGAAGCAGGCTGAAGAAGCCAAACAACAGTCAGTGAAGTTACTCTGACCTTCTTTCAGTCTCTCTCTGTCTCTCTTTTATGAGTGTGTTTATACTGCTGGTTTTACAAGATCTGTGTTCATGAAGTCTCTGAGAGGATGGAAGCAGATAATCTGAACGTCACAGATGATCAGGAATGTCGGTAGATAAACAGTTTCAAGTGACTCAACATTTCAACATTTGTGACATGATTTGGTTGCATCCTTCCTAACATGAATTCAAGCGGTCATTTCCTCGGGTAATGGCAGACTGAAAAACACACTAGGTATTCTAGTCAAAGCGTGGACATTTCGTAATGCAAAGCTTTTATGAGCTCCTGTTCTCATTCACTGTTATATGGAATTAACTGGGTGGCCTTCATGACTGCTGTCAAATGTGAAAGCACATACAGGCCACTTTACAATAAAACTGTCCAAACACATCTTAATGGACCTAATATGAGTGTTTGTTTGAGTGTCCAGTCAATGCCAGTATGCTAATAAAGGAGAGAAACAGGCTTAAGACATATTTTAACCCCTTGAGACTTCAGAAACTGCACCATGTAAGTCAGGGTACAAATTCATATAAATTATTTGGGACAAAAATGAGACAATAAGCCTTTTTCAAGCCTTGCAAAAGTATTTGCAAATCAAACACTTAACAAACACAAGAAAATGAATATACAGCACTCTTGAAATTGAAACTGACAATATAAAAAAGGTTAGTGAAAGTATACGACTAGGCAGGAAGCTAAAGGCGTGGATCAAAAGCAGAGGGGATGAAAGTGCAGATAACAAACTATTAAGGATGAAGTCATCTTCCTGACTGATCTTCCATTCTGCTTCATATGTCATCTTAACTCACAGTGAGGGAGTAGACAGCGGGGCTCATTTTGTCCACATCCCTCTCCATCGGACAGAACTGCTGATAGAGCGGGCAGCTGCGGTCCCACAGCACCGCTGGCTTCAGGACGTAGCCACAGCCGCCGTTGGCCTCAAACAAAGCTGCGTTCAACTGCATGGGCAGGTCTGGGAAGGAAAGAAAGAGGGAAGGAAGAATCAATTTTTGGAGCACAAAAATAGCTATAACTAGAAACCTCAACTCCACCTTGTAGGCATTAGCAAAAATAGGTGTTAAAGATTTTCCAGTTTGAGTTTCAAGTTTCCAGTGACCTTCGCTCTGATGTAGATCAACCAGACTGGAACAGTGTCTCACTGCACGCGACTGGGTCATCATGTTTTGTAAACTTTGACTCCAAATGGGGGGGGAAATGATTTGAGAAGCAGAGATGAGGAAAAAAGTAACGGGGGGGGGGGGGGGTGAACTACAGAAAATAAGAAAAGGAAGAGAGTGAGATAAGGATCAAAAGGGAAAAACAGAAATGAGGATGAGAGAATTTTTAACATTTAATATGCCTTTTAGAGAAAATAACATTATCTGACAGAGACAATAGAGAAATACTGGAAATGGAGAAAAAACTAATCAAGACACAAAGTAAGAAAGAAAGAGAGAGAGAGACAGGTCATGAGAGAGAGAATTAAGAAGAAATTGAGAGAAAAATAGTGGGGCATCTTGGGATCAACATCCCTTAAAAAGAGCACGATAAGACATAATTTTATCTGTCACACAGAAAATCTGTCAAACACAGACTGTTTAACAAAATGTATTCTAAAATTTCTTTCTTGTTTTGTTTTTTTATTCCTCTGTGGAAAATGAGCTGCATAGTTCACCTAGAATTAAAGCCTTGCAGCCAGTTTCAAGGCTTCGTTGTAAAAAAACATTGTCATGCAGAAGAGGAGTTGTTAATTATTGCATTACAAAGGAGGAAGATGATAGAGCAGAACCAAATCTACTTTCCAATCATCTCTTCCTCATCTTCCTCAACTACTTTTTGGTAAAAAGTGATATTTTATTATAATAAAAACCATAATGAGTAATTTTTGCCTGTGAGTGAGATAAAGTGACATCAATGTGTTTTTTGGGGAGGCTGTGGCTCAGGAGGTAGCGCGGGTTGCCCGTTAACTGGAAGGTCGGCGGTTCAATCCCCAGCTCCTCTAGGCTGCATGTCGAAGTGTCCTTGGGTAAGATACTGAACCCCGAATTGCCACCTGGCATTCCACCAGTGTATGAATGCGTGTGAATGTTAGTTTCTGTTTGAGCACTTAGGCTCAGTTTTATGAATGGTGAATGCAGATGTAGTGTAAAAGCGCTTTGAGTGGTCGAAAAGACTAGAAAGACGCTATACAAATACGGAGCATTTACATTTTTATGCTTAACAAAAGAGAAAATAGCATCTCTGCAGGCCGTCCTCACCATCAGTCTGATAGTTAAGTGCCACCAGCTGGATACCGTGCAGCCAGAACAGCAGAGGGTTCGGGTTGGTTGAGTCGATCCTGGTGGCTGCTGGGTATGTCCTGAGCAGCTGGCACACCGTGTGCTGGATCAGCTTCTGAGAGTAACGCCGGTACAGGCGCTTGGCGGCGTTCTCGTTGACAGAGGAGATGTGGTAGCACTTGGGCGTGCGGATGATGGCACTAAGAGAGGTGGGGGGGTTAAGGATGGGAGACGTCTGTTGCTCCTCCCAACTCAGTCGCTCGGCGCCACCTAGAGGGAAGACAGATAGAGACGTTTCAAGGCCGTGAACACATGTTTTCTCAGTCAGCTTCTTACTTTGAGAAATGTGGTCCTACAGGAGGACTAATCACCAATCAGGGCCTGCTCCTACACTAAAATCGTCACCAAAAGTCTTCAGCAAACTAGCTATAAGAAGAAGCACAGAGTATAGAATGTATAATGTAAGTTCTTGGAAGAAGCTAACTCTGATATCATAGCAGACCGAAGAAGACGTCGGAGGAAGCAAGGAAGAGAAAAAGAGTGTGAGACCAAGCAAGAGACCAAAAACAGTAAATATCGGACTGGCTTTAACTTGTTGGCGTGAGCTAAAAGAGCTAAGAGGATGCACAACCGATGCTGAGCTTGCCTTCTTGCTGTTGGACTAGTACTTATTATCTGGCTTGCTATGACTTCTGTTGTTGCGCTCGCTTGATGTTTGTCTGTGTTAGAGTGGAGAGCGGTGCCGGTGCTGTGCCCGGAGCCGGGCAAGCAGGCAATTTAACCAGACTCAGCAGCCTCTATGGACGTAACATTAGCTAATGGCAGAGGCGAGCAAACTGAAGAGGATGTTGACAGAGGAAGCTAAGAAGAGAAAAAGAGAGTGACCAAGCAAGAGGCTTCCAGACTTGGCAAGAGCTTTGTGAAATAAAAGGCTGCAAGTCTGTTGGACTAGTATGTAATAACTTATTAACTGGTTTTGCTATGTTTTGTATTGTTGCACTAGCTTGATGTTTGGCACAAAAAACAAATCTGACATAATGTTGCTTTAAAATCTGACAAGTTAAACGCGTAAATATCATATTGTTATGAGATTGTTTTTAACCCCAAACTTTAATTTTTACTGTTACATATTAAAGCTGGAGTGCCAGACCTTTACATATAAAGGAACGTCCGTTACATTTCTCAGTTTCTCAAATTATTGGTGAAACAGAAAATGCATATATTAATATATTTTCCAAGACAAAAATTACCCCCCTAGGCTCTGCGTACCTTTCCCAGGGGTGCGGCTTTGGGTCGTGACCTCCCCTGTTGTGTTGCAGCGAGCAGGAGCTGTGCCAAATATGGACTTCCTGCTCTTTCCCCGATCCTTTCCTCTGTTAGAGCTGGCTGGAGACAGAGTGGAAAGACCTGGTTTCCCACACACCAGAAGAGGCAGACAGAAGAAAGTTGTTAACTAATGCAACACAGACTGACTGGAGACACCACACTCATGACATCAGTATCTCTCAATTGGTTTCTCAAACTTCAGAAATAATTTTCTAGCTTAATGAGGAAGTTGTTCCTCCCAGGCATAACTCTAAATGCATCTGTTTTAATGAGCACAGAGGTTTAGAGCTAAAAGGACAGTAGCAGGAAAGCTAGCAAAAAAATATGTTTTTGTTTTTAAAAACAAATTTATGTGTTTTAAGGTTTTGAATAACATGGAAAATGCAGCATAGAAGAAGACAGATGCTTCCAATCATAAGGAAACTAATGTTGAATTAAAGATGTATTAAATGCTGTTAATATTGGGCTATTACTTATTTGGAGTCAAATCTCTGTCTCCTTTTTAAAGAAATATCTGAGAAGAAGAATGAGCCATGCTTTGTCCTGACTGGTGAGTATGTTTTAAGATGAGTTAAATGTTTGTAGAGCTTTTAGAAGAAGCAAGTTCATCTGCAAACACTTCAGACAGCAGCAACCAGTCTGCTTTCTGTCTGAATTGGACCACTTGCCCTGCCTTCTCTTTCTCACATCTCTGGTCCCTGGAAACTGTAAACAAATAAAATACCCAATGGAAACACAGGCAGGTTTATAAGGGTAAATGTCATGCAAAGGAAAGAGGATGCAAGCAGAGAGGAGGCCACTTAAAGGAGGAAAGAGGAGATCAGAGGTTATTATTTAAGAGTGAAAAAGAAATAATTGAGATAAATATTAGCAAGGAATTGAGATAGATCCCAATAAAGAGGAAATACGAGAACTTTTATGTGGGTCAGAAAGACAGAAAGTGTCAGCAATCATTTGAGGTCAAATTTGATACCAACTGTACTCAATCCAAAAACATTTCCTTAATGTACATTATATAACAACTCTGCTGTTGTTGTGCTGCTGTTCATCTGACAACACAATGAAGTAACCATATATTTCCCATGGGGAGAAAAGAATTCCTCATCTCAGTGGGTGTCCTGTGTGGGAGAGGAATGGTGTGTAACACTGGGATATTAAATGTCTAGCAATGAAAAAATTCTAAAAACATGGGGAAAGGTTTGACCTTTTATACGTGACATGGGAGTGGGTTTGAGTGGGACAAGACAGAAAAAAGGAGATAATGAAAAGGATAGCTTGTCAGAAGTAAAATAGGGGCGATAAATCACTTTGTCTGGGAAAAGAATATGTGGAGGAGAGAAGGGAAAGAGGAGGAACATACAGTAATGCTGTATGTTAATATGAATAGTACAGAAAGAGGAAGAGTCTGCGACAAAGAGACAGAATGATAAAAGTTTCTCTACCAGGGAATTTCACAGCCTGGCAGTAGATGATGAGATCGGACAGCTCCTGGGCAATCTGTCGACTCTCCTTCTTGTTCTGAGGAAGGTAAAACTCCTCGCCCAGCTCCATGTCAAACACCTACATGAGCAGGTAGACATGAAAAACCATGGTTTTACTTAAAGAGACAGCGATGTTCTATTTTTAAACCTACTTCTGTTGACTTGAAATTGGCTCGAAATAAAATTTTGTTGAATGATTCAGTATAAACGCAATTGCAGAAATTAGGTCAATTTTATACTGTAGTTCCCTACCTTTCCTTTGCTCTGTGTAGTGCTATCAGACTTCTTCATCCTCTTCGGTATTTCATCAACAGGGTGCTCGTCTTTGTCTGCTGAGCTCTTCCCCTCTGACTTGTCATCCAGGATGTTATCTGTTTAGAAAATACAGTGAATTATAGCAGGTGTTAATACAGGGGTACTGTATGTAGCAGAGTGGGTCTGACAGAGCACACATTTGCGGGAAAAGTTTGTGGGTCAATGTCTATCAACTGTAAACAGGAGCAACAGTAGGGAGTTCTACCCTTTGCTCTCATTCCTCCTGCACATTCATTGCAGCCAAAAACAGAGAAAAGAAACATATCAGCTTGAAAATGCAGAAGCTTTTCATCACAGGAAACTTGTTTAATTCCTGACATTTGGAATTTCTTCCTTTGAAAAGATTGGCAACAGAGTTGACCCAGAGTGTCACCCCGTAGATAGTAGTGAGAGAAGTGAGCTGGACTTGACTATGACTGGAGGGAGCTGCCGTTAAACAAGAGACGGTGACAACTTGGTGATCAAGTGTTATTTACTGGGCCAGCCAATGTACAAGCGTGTAGGGTTAAGGTTGACAGTTGAGGGTGGAGTCTTGCTAGCTTCAAAGAATGAAAAGGGAACCACGCCATAAGGTCTAGGGTAAGAGAGATGGTTTCTGAAAGGTCTATGACCGGTTAGTTATTCCGACAGGGACAAGCAGAGGGCAGGGATTAGGCGATAGCTATGCTGGGACTGGGACAGGGTAGTTTCCCCTGGTCTGCTGTTTAGTGCGGGGGCAGTGTAGGGCCTGAGAAACCAGATGGCTTTGTTTTGTTTTCCTGATGAGCCTGCCCAGCCACTTGCGAGGTCACAGACAAATACTGTATGAAAGGGAGGAGGAAAGGAGGTGATGTGTTTGTGGGAGAAAGAGAAATCATCCAGTGTTGCTAAAATACTGGCTAAAATTACTAAAATATTTTTTCTTTACACACATAACCAATTTTGATGTCATCCATACTTTTCTAAATTAGGCTGGATGGTTGTTTAAGGTTATGGTAGTTATACTGTAGCTTGTGTGTTAAAGCAGGACATACTGTATCAAACAAGCAGACCAAACATCAAGACACACAAATACAACACAAGCTCACATCACAATTACTATTTTAAAAAAACAAAAACAATATTCAGGCTAATCTATACACAGTGTTCATAGTGACAGAATATGATTTAGAATAAACATAATTTTGGATGATGGATACACAGAGTGCATAATAACAGTCACTTCCATTGGCACTTGGCACAAGAACAATTACTGTAATGTACTTAGCAAGCTAAGTGTTAAGGATGTTTTTTAAAATATTATTGTATTATTATTATGAATAAGAGCGATTACAGTACAGTAAGCTTAACTTCTATGGTGTATGTATAAGAACACACATGGATTTATTGGCTACTGTAGAAGGTGAGGGAAGTTAGCACGTTCATGATATATCAAACTGTTAAACAACACAATTGCCTAAATAATTTTTTCCATCAACTGGATTGGATGGAATTAAGTTTTTAATGGGTTCCACATATTACACAATATGTAGTGGGTTAAATTTGAACTTCTGCTTACCATGAATGATAGATATCCAGGTTAAAGCAGAACATAACCTGACGTCCACAAGCAGCAGAAAGCTAGCAGATATTACAGTATGCGGGCACATACAGGTGTCAGTTTACAACAACGATGCAGATCACTAGTGTCTACACCTCAGTGTTTCCTCTGTAGTTATTCTGTAGTGGTAGACAACAAGCAAGTTCATTTGCAACATAGGGCCGTAACTTCCCCTTAAAGCTAAATGGCAGGGTCAATATCTAAAGGTAGCATTTTAAGAAGCCATTTTAAGCTACCACTGCAAAACTAAATGAGATGGAAACACTGGTACATAGAGAGGTGCATCAGAGCCGTGCATTTACCTTCCAGGCAATATGAGGCAGTAGAGGCTGTGAGGACATCAGCTAAGTGGAAAACAGGCAAGATAAAATAGGAAAGGAAGGGAGTAAGAACAGAGTGTCAACTTAAGGAGAGACTTAAGTGTTAAAAAAAGAGAGAAAGAACAAACGTGTGGACAGAAACTGATTCAAGTGTTACAGTATAAGAATTTACATATAATGTGATGTTTAATCCTGAGAATCAATAGAGACTTTGTTGGTTCAGTTCAGTTGAGTTTTTATGTTAGTTTTGTGCTTTTGAAGTATTCTCTTTTTTCACCCCTTACCATCTGATAGAGACTCATAGTCATAGTCATACTCGTCTTCTTCCTCTTCCTCTTCCTCATTGGTGTGGTTGCCGGGCGAAATAACCCCTGGGGACCCGTTGCTAGCCTGGGCCTGCATGTGGGCCAGCTGGTGGGCCTGTGAAAGGGTTAAAATATTGTAAAAGTGAGAGTAAGTGCATGTAAAAACTGTGCAAGAACTACTATTTACAAAGACATACCTGCCATATAATGTATGGTCTATATCAACCCATTACCTGTAAATACACAAGTGCTTATCTGCAGAGAATGTATGGTGTGTATATACCGAAGCACTTGCTAGGTAAACCCAGTGGAAATTGTGTGCTGGGGTGTACTTTTTGAGCACATTAGCATCTATTATTTATGTGTGACCACACTCTAATGAACAGTGTTAAATATTGAATGTACTAATGCCATTTAAAAGATGGCTTGTATGAAATGTAAATTATGTACATGTTTATATATGTGCATATGTGTGGACAGGATGTCTTTCTTTCTACTCAACCTTCTGTTTGAGTATGTCCACTGGCGCCTGGTGTGCTTTGAGCTTCTTGTTCTTGAGGAGGATCCTCCCTCGCAGCTGCAGCGGTGACGGCAGGTGCGGGTCATCGCTGAAGTCGCTTTCGAAGAGGAAACGCGTCACTAGACGTTCCCCGAACACCGTCTAATGAAGAAATATTCAAACATGACAGGCAAACATCAATAAATGGATGTCCATTCATGTGAGGATGTAATGTCAAGTGAGAGGAGGAGAGGAGAATCAAAGTACATTTAGCAACCCAAAACAACATTGCAAATAAACAAACCCACAGTGACATAATCTGGCCAGAGGCATAGAGCTGACTGAACATGAAAGACTTTCTTTTTTATCAAGCCACTCAGAAGTCAGTCTCCAGGGAGGGTAAGGATGCTGGGAAGTTTTGTTAGATGAAAGCAAGATGATATTCCATGATGTATGTGTCATGCCCAGATATGTGTGGGTATGACCTTGAGTATATAACTTAAATAAAGAAGAAAGGGACAGTTGAAGATAAAGAAAGCCTCTGACTGGAAGTCTGCCAGCTTGAATGTCTACAGGAGCTGAGAAGATCTGGCCAAAGAATGACGAATGAGTTGAGTACAACTCAAAAAGTGCTGCTACAAGCGCCACTGAGGAAAATATTCCCACCTGGAAGAGTGTGGTTGGACGAGAAACTAGACAATTTCGAGGTGTAGGTGCATACAATTACCTAAATATACAGCTTAGTATTGCTTAATATATTGTTGAATGAAAGGAATGTGCGCTTTTACAAACTACCTATAAAGTATTAGTGTTCATTCTTGCTCTTGGATTTAAACATAGATGGAGTCGGTTTACCTATACAACTCTATTTGTGCAGATTTAGAGGCCACCTTACAATGCTTAAAAAGGTAGTACTATGGGATATGTAATCAGTTTCAAATTGTATCTGATCAGTTACATCTTTTCACACATAAACGACAGCAGACAACAGACTCTCTGCCTCCATTACTAATCGCTAACCAGAAAGTTAGAGTACAAATTATCCAGACGTGGAAATCATACAAGACTAAAAATACTAAAGTAAAGTCATATCTTGTATTTGTGCAGTCTAAATGTGGTCTTTCAGACAGAGCTGCTGTCATACCTTGAAAATTTCAGCCATCTTGCGTTGCTGAGGGAGGGAGCAGTGGTTCTCTATAGACAGGATGACGGGCATGTCCGAATTGACAAATGCAGACCTGTTAATTGCTTCCACCACATCCTGGAGGATCATGGGAGAGATTACATTCTTACAAACAGCACCCCAAAGTCAAATAAAAGTCAATAAAACTCTATGGAAACCAATACTGATTAGATTTATTAAAAAAGCCCTGCATACAACATCAAATAAAATACAAGTGTTTGAGGGCTGACAGTCCAACTACAATTACATAAAATAAGTAGTATTGATATGAGAGTAAAGAGTAACCAGCTGGTGAACTGAGGTCAGTTGATGGGCGTTCAAAAAATCCTTTTTTGTTTGGTTTACAGAACCAACAGAATTTCTGCCTGGACTACTTTTGTCAAAATAAATACATCACACAGCAGTACAACTGTGTTTGGCAATATGGCTCTGTGGTAGAAACTTCTGCCAAGTGAGAGCAGAAAGCAGGGAGAGCCAGTGATTGATTCTTTTACACAAAGTCATTGAGATCTCTAAATTTGATTATTCCTATGCATTTCTAACCTTAAAGGGTATCTTAGTGGTGAGTGTGTGTCCATGATAAATAACTGGCATGCCATCATCTCCATCCCAACAGTCCAACTCGACGCTCCTACAGCCTTGCAGCAGCACCTGATGTAGAATTACATTCAATGATCAGACACATACATACAAAATAGGAGTTACGGGTCCAAAAACCCCTTAAAGGATAATTTTGGTATCTTTAAACCTGGGTCCAATTTTAACATATTTTGTTGTCAAAATGACCAGTATGTACAAAAACTTTTGGAAGATGGTGAATAGGCTGCAATGTATTCTCCTATGAGTAATTGTGACCGTTAAAATGAAGTCTTTTTGCCACTGACTGGCTCAGACTGTTATACCAGTGTGACATAAGTATAAGTGTCACACAACATCATGGAAAGGATCTCTACGAGCGACTCCCGGTGACAATTCTGACAATTCGAGTTGTTGCAGGAAACTCAGGTTGTTGCAGAAAACTGGGAGAAGAGGGAGGAGTTTGTTTGTGTAGATACAGATCTCCAACTCTAACTCACGTTTCCACCGTCGCCTTCCTGCAACAACTCAATATCTTGAGGGAGACTTCAGATTCCTGTTAAAAACAAAGGGTGTCACCGGGCGATCCTTTCCATTATGATGCCACGAAGGAATATGTAGCAGCCACTGCATCCTTTAAAATACTGTTTCAAACATGAGGCGGACGACTCACTTACCTGACTGTAAAGCTCAACAGAGGACTCTCCTTTGAGCTGGTGTCCGGTTAGATAGGTGTTATGAGAAGACTCAATGTAGTAGTAAGACAGAGGGTACTGCAGCTCCTCAGGGTTTATCTGGGATTCCTCAATACGAGAGGCAAAGTTCTCCTTATCCATCAGGAACCTGGTATGGAGACAGGCTTGGTTAGACAACAAAACATAATGCTACTGGACAAGGGCTTCTTAACCTTTCTGGCAGTCCGACCCCTTTTTGAGGTTGAAAATATTTCGCGGTTTTCGCATTTTTTTAAAAGCAGATGTTTTTAACAACAAAAGAGTGAGAGTGAGTTGTGATCAATTTCTGCTAATATGACAGTTATTACTTAGCAACAAATCAAAAATTACAGATCGCTGGCAATATAATCTTTGATTAGACTGACAGGACAGTGGTTGCCTAATAATGTGATAAAAACGCAGCGCTTTGCCCTTTTCCAAATTCAACCAAAAAAAGACATTGCTGTGCGCCTCCTGTTTTCGAACTTTCTGTCTAATCGGGCCTTGTTCTTCTTTGGCGTTAGTGGTTGGCATTACCGCCACCTACTGGATTAAACAGTGCAAAATATTTACAGCGTCCACCCAAAGTGATTCCATTCACAACTATAGCCTAGACTATAAAATTTTCGCCCCCAGGTCAAGAACCACTGTACTGGACTGATTACAATTAGCAAGCAAGTACTGAGATGTTCTTTAAAATGGTGTACTACACAATTGTGCCTTGCAAAGGGAAAATCTTTTTTTTAAAGTATGTAATGTAGTGTTATTAATCCAGCATATACTTGTTTCAGTGCTGACTTAAGTATGCAATGTCTTTTGAAATATTAAAAGTTTTCCTATACCTTGCAAAGCCTTCAAATGACATCCAACCCATTTGTCTCATGCTTGATGAAGGCTCAAATCTCTGCAAGAGAAAAGCAAGAAACTATTAATTATTGATCAACAGTCCCTTTTTCTTCCTTTTTCCATACATGTATCTGGTGAATTCACTAACCTAAATCAGGCATTTTCTCATCCTTCTCCTTTCATCTCCAACCCCTCTCCATCCAGTTCAAGTGCTATCCCTGCATTACTTCATTATTTCCTTCATCCCTCCCTCCAGGATCCTACCTGTATAATGCTGAGAATCTCATCGTAGGTCAGGTGCTCTCTCTGACAGTTCACCAGGAAGTCGTTCAGCTGAGGGATAGCCAATCCCAAGACGCCTAGTGATGCGTTCTCAACTCCTGTCCCGTTGGTCACAATGCTGGCTGCTGCAATAGCGTCTGAGATCTGCTTCTGGTTGTCAGACATCTGCTGCCTCGTCCGGATAAACAGGCCAAGATCAGAACCATTGCGGGTTAATAAGTCTGGGGAGGGGGAGGAGGAGGCAAGGCGAAGTGGAGGAAGAAAGAAAGAAAAATTATATGGTGCTTGTTGCTTTTGATTGCCAACAATACATGAATTAATGTAACTGTTATTTTTACCGAGGTCTGGCTGTAGCCCCGTGTCTTTGTCATCTATCCTGAGGTTGGTGTAGAGAGGTGCAGACTCTGGACTTGATCGACTGCAGGGGACGGCAAAGGTGTCAAACAGCTCCTTCAGGTCCTTCCTGCTTCGGATACTGTGGAAGAAACAACACAGAATTTATTTTATTTTAGCTCTGCTGAAAATGAAATAAAGATGATCTTGTTTTGGCTTCAAAGCGCTTGAACTTTGGATCAATTTTTGAAACAGATTCAATTGCATTTACATTTCTTTTAAAGGCCAAATGAAAAGTCATATTTATAGACAAATATAGAATAACAAATATCATGTTTATGTTGTAATATTTTGTTTTGCTGTCAAGGCAGGCATCATATGTTTATATTTAGTTTTGCTGTGCCTTGTATCAGTTCTTCTCAATGTTCTTGTTAATGAAAACCTGTTAGCCAATGGACCGACAAGATGGCTAAATAGAAAACACGTCAGGTACCATCTCTGAACAATAAGCAGGATTTTTGTGGGGCTAATCTGCTTAAGCACTGCTTAGCTGAGTATGGAATTTAAAAGGAAACTGCGGAGCAGCAGATGAAAGGGTACACTACAATCTAAGAAATGTATGAGGACTGGTATGAGAATAATCCATTGTTTATCAAGCAAAGCATTGTTCCCTTTTATTTGGGAGGGGGAAAATATTATAGAAGCTAAATATTATACACACAAGAATCTTTGGGTTGAAAGGCATGATAACTGCGAAGAGCATTTGTTGAATTTGTTTTATCATACTGTCAACAGCTGCTACTGATAAAAAAACAATTACGTAAATAACAAGAGGTAGTGGGTTGGCAAAAATGCTGAAGAGAACATATACAACGTACATATAGCACTGTTTCAGGCAATCACTGAATGTCGGATGATTACATATTACCAGATAAATGTGTTTGATCCATGTTTTAGTTTGGCAAGATAAAACAGAAACATATTTATCAAAAGTTTACAACTTTGAATTATGCCTGTCTGGTATGTGAATCTTTGTTTTAGGGACAGTTTCTTACTTTGCTGTTACTACAGTGTGCCAAAAAACAGGACCTAGTAGAATAACATTTGGTATCTACCTGAATGACTTGAAGAGCTCAACAAACTCAATGAAGCTCATCGTGCTGTCAGAAATCATGAGATTCTGGAAGCCTTTGAAACAGCCTTTACCTCGACCGTGCCACGACCTGCTGCTCCAAGCCCTACAGCCCACAAATAAAAGACAAAATATCTCAATCTGAATAAAAAAAAGGAAGTAAAATTTATCACACCTCCAGTTTTACTACAATATAGTACATACCCTGGCTGCGGCTTGGTAGTTCCTGAGAGGATTGGAGAGGACTGTGGACGGGACTGGTTGGACCCCACCATGCTGGAGGAAGAGGAGGAGGAGGAGGAAGAAGAGGCAAGCAATCCAGGGTTTTTACTGGATGAGAGGGAGAATGGTCCAGGGAAGCTGTCCTCTATGGAGGCAAAGATGAGTAAACGTAAATAAAAACCACACACACAAGACAGTGCCATGTGAATTTTTTTGTTAAGTTCCTAATGACCTGTGAAGATTGTTTTATTCTTTAAATTAGGTTTTGTGTAGTCTTTTGGGTAATTAAAATATAATATCTTTGTCAAGAAAACTGATCTGGCCAACTAACTTCTACAATATTCATGAGTGTGATAGCCGCATCCTCACTTGGCATAAATCTATAGATTCTGGATTCTCAATGTCACCTGGATCTTCTTGGTCGATGCTGTCAGACTCTGGTCCGTTTCGATACAGTCCGTCTTTACAGCTCCGTGTTTTCCTGGACACCATCTCATCATCCGTGGCATCTCCACTGTCTCCCTGTAACACATGCTATGTTACAAATTTGTTTTTCTACTATTCAGTATTAGAAACTACAATGGCATCAGTTTGTAGGCATAACAAGGAGTATACGGTAGAGCAGGATTGAACCGTCAAATGGACCAGAGGCATTCGATATGTGTAGTGTACTGAATTTCTAACTCTCTCTATCCTGAAAGTTGTATTAGTAGAGAAAACAGCATAAAAAAAACATGGAGTTCTGTAAGGGCTCTTAACATGTAAAACCAGTGGTATAAGCACTAAAATGTGACAAGTGTCCCAGAAGGTCCACTCACACTGAAGATTTACCTGCTCACTCACTGTTGATACGAGTCTCAGCTAAGTGTAGTGTGAAAGGCATCATGAACTTTTTCTATGTACTGACCCTGACAAGGACCTTCTTTTTCTTCTTGGTCTTATCATTGATGCTCAGAGGGCTGTTTTTCTGGGCGGCAGGTTTCTCCACGCCACCTGTGCCCATGTTCCACCTTCGGCCCCCAAACAGCTCAATGGCATGGGCTAGTGTAGGGCCTTCATACCGGCCATCCTCCTAACAGAGACAAACACACACAGGTTCTGATCATGATGACAGGCAAGGTTAAGGTCCTCATATTAGTGCTGCATACATTTTTATAACTTTAGAAAATGAAACTTGTTTGTGTGCGTCACACACACAGCCACCAGTCAGCTCAGGAAATATCTGTGAAACAGCGTTTCAAACCAAACTCACAAGTCCGAAAGAGGCCCAGTCTGTCCCGAGTTACAGCCTGGTTACAGCCAGCGCGCTGCTTACCAGCATCAGAGGCTGCGGGGGAACTCCGGTGTTGTCGGAGAATTACTAAGCTTGTCTGTTAAACACGAGAGGCATCACTTGGTTTTATTCTTGTTGGCCAACTTTTGAACCTCAAATGGAGTATTTTTGTTTGCTTACTGGGATATAAACAGATGGACTCCTAGGAGATTTGAACTGAGATAAGGAAGCATTAATTGGTGGTTGAACTGTGGGTTTTGTATTGAGCGCTTATTGTATAATACTCTGTGGTGAACTCACTTTTTCTTGTCATCTATGTCATCATAGTATCTAATGTCATGACTTGACTCTCAAATTATCTTTCTCATGTTGTTTTAATTAGATATTTCTTCTCCACCATTGCTCATAATAATATTTAATGCAATTCATGCATCACCTAATTTCATCATAACACAGGCCTGGCCTACAAGAAAGAACAGTGTACTGTATGTTTAAACTATTTAATATTGTGTTGGTCGTACTATACACTGATTTACTGCTTGTTTTGAATAATACAGGAGGTAAAGAGCTTACAAATGAATCGCATATTAAATCGCAATCAATTGGTAAAAAAAAAATCGCAATTAGATTATTTTCCAAAATTGTTCAGCCCTATTTAAAATGACATATTAGTGACATTATTTCAATTCACATGGTCTACATTTTACACTTTACAAATTTGACATTCTATTCCCAAACTAAATTAATAGGCACAAATTGGCAAGATGAAGAACACTACTTTGAATTTAAAATGTTTTAGAGACATGTGAATGTTTGGGCATTCAGATTTAAAGAGTAATGCAGCAAAAATATCCAAGGTCCATTTTGAAAAAATTATAAGGCTGAAAAACGCCTACTGTGGGGGCCAAGGCAAAGAAATGCTATAGAGAATTTATAGTGCTGAAAATACACCTATAATACAACCTGAAATCCATCCATTTTTAATTCAGACATTAATGGAAAAAAAGGCCTGTGTCCAAGAAAAGTATTATCAAGGGTACATTCTCCAGTTCAGCGTTTACCTGATACAAACTGACATACTGCCTCCTCAGCCACTGCAACCTTTGGTCAGGAAATTTCTTTAATTTTCTGGTTGCATTCACCAACTCTGACAGGCCTTTATGGAGCATCTGTGCCGTGTGGTTGGGAGCCACAAAGTGCAGGAGTCTAATGGAAGAAGTTAGGAAATGTGTTAAAATACACTATATTTAGTATACAGCAAGGTGTTACACCAATGTACCAGTGTAGCAATGCACTAAGGTTCAAAAAGTTGATTCCAAAGCAGGGTGCTGGTGGTAACATGGCACTAACCTGTTGTCAGTGGTACTGAGACCGTAGAGAAGACTGAGACCATTCTCCTCTACCGTCATCTGGCTCAGCTTGTTTTGCAAACACACGGCATGAACGTCCACTCCCTGATGACCCAGGAACACTGCCTGGACATTCAAATAAACACAATATTATGAATATTATGAGTGCAAACTTAAGTCCATTAGGTTTGAGGTTCATGAGTCTATATGAGTGTGAATGCAGCTCATTTTTGGCATCAATATAAACTTAAAGCAAAGGCTAATAAAAAAATTTCTATACCAGATTGAAAGACTAAATTTAAAGTGTTTTACAGTGTAATACCAGATCAAAAGTGCTATTATTTTTTATTTTTTTAAACAAACCTTCACCACTCCCAGGTCCAAAAGGCCCTCTGCTAGTCCTGCCACTACAGCCTGTCCTAATCCCAGTGGTGGCTCTGTGGGGGAAGCGCCTCCACTATGAGGCTTAGCTGCAATAAATCAACACATTTAAAATATGTTTGACATGTAGTAAAGGCACAGGAAATTGAGCATCTTCTGCAAAAATACAGCCAGTTATAAACTGTGTTACAAACGACATGGTGCTTACCCACTGTGGATAAACACATTTAGAATTTGTTTGAAATATAATAATGCCACAGGAAATATGACTCTTTTACATCATGGGTGCCTGTTTTCCATTTGTTTAAAGAGTAATAATGAGAGAGGGAATAGGGCTTGTCTCATCGAGATATAAACATACTCATCAAGTGTACTGATGACAACGTAAATCTTTTCAGCAATTCTTTTAAGCTCATCTGAAGACATTCACTTCACACAAAATCCCACACTTCTTATAAAAAAGCCTTTAGAAAGAACAATGCTAAATAGTCTTAATAACACAAACCCAAGACAAAAAGGTGAAACCGAATAGATTTAAACGCAGATTTGTTTAAATTAACAAAAAAACACAACATATTTTTGGACATATCTGAAAAACATTTCTTTACACGAAACACAATTAATGACAAGTGGTTCCCAGGAGAGGATATACCCATGTCTTTTAAATTATATAGAAATGTTTTGAATGACACTCGTAATATACCCCAGGTGAGTGTTGTGTTGTCAGGTTGTAGTCGCAGCAGACAGCGAGCTGTCTGGTGGTTGTCCTGGTCGTAGTGAATGACTGTGGCCCCCTGAAGCAGAAACTGGTGAACATCTGGTTGTAGCGACAACACGTACCTAAAAAAAGAAAATATAAAAATTGTGGAGTGTCCGTTGAGCTATCTCTTTGTGTGTGCGTGTGTCTGTGAGTGTGTGTATGTTTCTTACCAGGGAATGAGCTCAGTGCCATGGCTGAAAGCTCTGTGTGTCTCCTCAGTCCCCTGAAACTCCACCTCTTTCACCACCGGCTCAGTCGACAAGTCGCCATCTGAATCTGACAAGTCGCCTAGCATGAATCTGTAGATGGATGGAACATTGGGTGAAAAAAAACTAAATTTAGTACCGGAATACAAAGTTTTAGTGAACTGATTTCCACTGGAATCCGCAAATACATCCGTTATTATTTAAAAAATGCATTGAGGTCCAGTCAAATGTAAGAAGTGACCTACATCTACAGTAGGATAGCACACAAATGCTCTTTGTACTGTAGTGCATCGGTTGAAAAAGCAAAAAAACATCATGCGTTTGTAATTGCAATTGCAATTAGTAGTGGAGGAACCACTACTAAACAAACTTCTACTCAAACTGCTATTTAAACCATGTTGACGTTAGCCGGTAATGTTCAAACTCTTGACACTGTTATAACTACTTACAAGACACGGTTTGATTCTGGTGGTGTCCTAAATGAATGTGAACTAGAATGGGAGAAGGGGACAAAGAAGGAGGAGAGGCAGTGTGAGATGACTAAAGAGAAGACAGAGCGTTTTCTCAGTAGGGATAAGAAAAATAGCAAAAAGAGGAGGCCAGTGGGAAAGATCAGGAACACAGGAAAGGAATTCCTTAGCCACTTTGAGTAAGAATGATACTATTTATCTGCATCCCAGTAGAGACAAATGAACACCATTACCCTAGCCAAAAAGAAAAAGAGTTGTTATCCTGAGCTCTAACATGAAACAATAAGTCAGATTCATAGAAAAATGTCTAAAAAACAGAGAGAAGATAATCCAGGTTTCCTTAATACAAACACCACAGGCCAAGGTTGAACGCAAAATTTGTTTTCTAGCAACCTTTTCACAACCTAATTCCATCTTGTGCCATTAGCTACCTGCCACCTAATGGTGTGTTGAAATGTACCAGAGCTCTGTTCCTTCCTGTCCTGACAGGAAACTAACCTGTTATCTGTTTTCTCTGTGACACATTGGTTTATGTGAACATCACCTCATCTCAATAACAATCTGCAAATGTGTTCCTTCACAAAGTCTTTACCATGTACCAGTGTTTATGCAATCACACTATGAAACATTACTATAGTGATACAGAACAATGTACCAATAGAAGCTTGGTAAGCATCCAGTTCATCTGGCCCCAGAAATTGTGCTGTAATTGTTAAATACCTACGTATTTGTATGCATATGTATCTTGCTGTTTAATTAATACTATGACATATTCCTTAATAGGCATATTTTGGCCACTAAACCACCACTAAAAAATCCAACTTCCAGTGCTACCAAACTGCTAACTCTGTGTCTACGACTACTGATGAAGCACAGGAATTGTTATTATTTTGATTATTTGATATTTTAGTAATTGTTTTGTTTTTACATTTGATACTGAGTTCTTTTTTTTTTATTATTAATTTTTTTATCAATTACTTATTTTTTGTTTATTAATACACACACACACACACACGTTACTGTTTCATTTATTTATTTTATTTTTAATATTTTATTTTTTAACATACACACACACGCTTACCATTTTATTTATTTATTTTATTTAAATTTTTAATATATATATATATATATATTTTAACACACACACACACACACACACACACACACACTTACTGTTTTATTTATTTATTTTATTAAAATTTTTAATTTTTTCTTATGTAGTATGTATGATGCTTTGGCAAAATTGTTACTACACATTCATGCCAATAAAGCTAATTTGAATTGAAATGTGCGAGAGACCAGCCGTGTCAATCATTCACAGCACGGCAGTATTCATAGTTCCGATATAAATCTATATACAACAGATCATTTTCTTCTACTTTGTCGATGATTCACTGTCTGTGAACGAACAAGAGTAATAATAGAATAAAAAGACTCAATTTTGGAAACCGACCCTTGGCAGGAAGGGTCACATTGCTAAACAATAGAATATCTCCAGTCCGTCTTAAAGGAGTGTCTCACCAAAAGAAATGTCTAATAGGTTAAGGGTGCATTGACATTCCACTTAAGTGGATGGTCAAGTAATAAATATTGACATTCATAATAAGACTACTTATAGCATTACTAAACATTAAAAATTCGGTGTCATTAAAAGATCACAAAGAATAATTAAGGATGAAATACTTGCTCTACACACCACACACCAAAAACACACAGTAAACAAAAAGTGAAAACAACTGCTGTATGCAATCAACTGATACATGATGTTCCAGTGATGGACCGACATCCCAGGCTGTGTGCCATTTGAAACTGTACTGTATGTCTCAACTGTCACAACTTGCACAACATCCCCCACGCTGAGGTAACAAGATAATCCTTCAGCTGGATGGGGTCAAGACCCTCTGACAGAAACCACCCTTCTAAGGTATCCTTCAACAAGACACACATTTTTATGAGATCCAGAGTTGCTTTTGGGTACCTGATGCTGCACACTGAAAGACTTTGAGGGAATCAAATTGTAAAGAAAAAAAATAAAAAGCTTATGTGTCACGTGAAAAAAGGGTGAAAGAAAGGGTGACTGACTGATTGCGGCAGCGGTCCCTGAAGGAGTTGTTTCTGGACGCAAGGTATGGGCCAGCAGAAGAGGGACTGGTAGACGCCTCGTCAGGATCGTCTGCCTCCAAACTACGATTACAAGATCTGATGGGTAGAAAGAGGAGAGTCAGAGGCAGCCAAGTGAAAGAAAATTTGAAGGTTTGAGATCACAGCAAAATTGGGAAGTACAGAACATCATAAAGTTTGTCATTCCATAATCTTTCTTTGAGAATGTGTTTTCAAGGATGTAGTATACCTGATAATTTGGAGGATGTTGCTGACAGTTGCTTCTTTCTCTGGGACGTGTAGACCATCTGGACCAGACCGTGGCATGAAGTTGTGCTGGCCGCTGTAGTCAGACACAAACTAGACCGAGGAGGACAAACAGAAACAAAGCAGGATGAATTTTACTAAAATGGTGTCGGATTCTTGCTGCTCGGGTCAGTTCTATGAGAGGTGTGCATGTTCTGTACCTCTATTGAGTCCTCTGTAGTATCTGGAGATTGATGTTTGAGGCTGATGATGCTTGCTGTCCCATCCAACGCGTCACTCAGCTCCTTCAGAAAAACCCCACAGAATGGCACCACCTATGGTAAAAAGAAAAATGCATCCCATTATGGCTTTTACTGTACTGAATTATTTATTTTATTCCACTGTTCACTGCTATTATAGCCATGAAACACATACTGACTGACCCACATAGCCATTACATGCCAAAAACATTCCCTGAATAAAACAGCAACCTACCTTGCATCCTGGGATATTGAGAGCTCTGGTCACAACCTTCTTGTACTCAGAAGAAGACTCGTGCTGAGCCATGGCATCCTTTAGGCTCCTCATGGTCTCGATGTCCGACTGATCCATGAACTGCCACATCTTCAGCACCTTGCGGGACCTTGGGGGGGGGGGGGGGGGGGGGGGGTCAAAGAAGATGTCAAATGTCAGTTGGTAAAGTGTGACATTTTGTCTGTGTGCAGTTTTTTTGTGTACAACATGTGAGCATATTTGAGTTAGTGTCGGCGTGTGCCTTAAAACCTGAGTCCAGCCAGGAACTCCATGACACCATTGTAGTTTCCCATGTTCCAACAGCATTTAGCGACATGGACCAGATAGGAGAAAACTTCTCTCTTCTCCTCCATGGACCCTGCTGTCAGGATCAGCCACGTCACCCACGAACTCACCTGTCGAGTTTTACATAAAAGATATTACTATCACATTATAAGATCATAGTTTGAAAGATGTGGTGTCCGAACACATTCAAACATATTTTTTAATAAAAACAAAATAAAATGGGAGCATGCTGCACATAGCTACATCAATAAAAATAGTAATAACAGTGGAAATTTCTGATTGGACAATCTACATGAAGGATGACTTCATGTACCAACCCCGAAGATGACTTGTAAGTGTGTTAGTGTGTTACAACAAGGCTGTAACTAGCTATGTCCAAATTCAGTAAACAAGACACTGCAGCAAAATGACGCTCAGTTGAAACTCTTTATTGTGTGTGTGGTCTCGCTTGTGCTCATGTCATCTCTTTTAAATTCTGGTATGGCAAGCTGTTTCTAAAGTGGTAATGTATGCATAGGGCCATGCCAGCTTGCCACACACTGACACACACAGGCGAAAGAATGAGATCCGATATCTATCAGCTGCACTCTGTCTCTTTGCACTGACTGCCTCTCAAGCACATGCAAAAGACATGATGGAAGAACCAGATATTTATCAGGGTCAGCTTCCTTTCACATTCTCTGTGATTAACACACAAACACAGACACACAAACTAACTCACAATACAGGAAAAGATCAGATTTCAATCTGGCCGTTTCTTTCTCTTTAGTGTCTGTCACGTGTGTTTTAGAGCCTCATGAATATATTCACACACACACACACACACACACACACACACACACACACACACACACACACACAGAAACTCCCTAGTAAAAACATCCCCTTGGCCCAGAGATCTAGTACTGGGTTATGTAAGGCTCTGTAAAGCCCACCACAGTTTGACTTTACAGGGACTAAATAAAGCCACAAAAACATACATATACACACGTAACAAAGGACCCCATTAACATACACTAGGTATGAGACCATGGATACTCACATATCAATCTCAGGCACATGTATAAACAATTTAACACACAGTATATACACGCATCTTAAATATGAACTTGTACATATAGATAACTTACTTCATAATCTACAGTCTTTGATTAAATGCAGAATTTTATTTTGCCAGACTCTTAAAAAGCTGGCTGTCATAATTCCAAACTCACTTATGTTAATAGTGTTATGGTTTGTTAAGTCTCACATTTTCTCCCTGTCCAATATGAGCAAAAGCACACCAGTTTATGCATTCCTGTGTGATAGAAGCATGGGCATGAGGGGGAGGGGGGGGGGGCTGAGGGTTGGGGAGGTTACTGTGAAAATGTAATCCATCTCAGACAGTCTCCTCTAAAATGCTCTCACTATAATGTGTCGTCTTTATTTACTCAAACTGAGAAACACGAAAAGATAAAAACTTAAGTGCCACCACTTTTCCTACAAAATGTATTATGCAGTTGAGCGGAGCGAAGAACGTAATTGAGGTTTAAAGTTTATTCGACTTTGAAAGGATTTGTTTTTCAACAATAATTCAATTCAACAACTAAACGGGTCTTGCGGTGGGATCTCAACTAAAATGTAATGGCTGTCCTGACTTAAAGGTGAACTTAATTAAATAGTAAAGTATGAAGAGAACTTCAATATCAGCGATTTGGGGGAAGCCCGAGGAACCTTTGTACTCCAAACACTATTTTATGATTTTAAGAACAAACTGCACAACCTCATCTAGGTGTTGCAGATTCACTGTAATTAAGAATATGGGTTTTTTTTTCCAATAAGCCAATTTTATTAAAGTGAGAAATTATTTTCAAACTCACTCCTGGAGCTGATGAGAATGCATCATCTTGCTCTTTAGCGCTTCAATTGTGCATAAGCTTGTTCCAGAAACAACTGTACTGTACATGACTTACTGACAAACTACTGTACTGCCTTACAGTCCCTTATCTGTTACACCCCCACTCTGTACTTGCTAGGATGTGAGCGCCAAGATGCTTGAAAATCTGCTATTAGTCACTTGTAGTCAGCAGCTGGGCTGAATTACAGTCACCATCTAAAACACTCAAACAATCTGTGGCTTTCTGAATCGCTACAGATCAAGGCATTGTACAGAGTTGGCATCTCTACTGATATTTCAGATAGCAAAAGTGTGTACTCAGTGTAGTGTATGAAAGATTATAGACAGGATATGAAGGTGTACAGATAGATAGATAGATAGATAGAGAGAGAGGTAGGTGTTATTAATGGCAGCTTGACAACATTTCAGAACACACGTGTACACACACACACACACGCAACATGTGTGCACATAAACACACGCAACACACGTGCACACACACAAACACACAGAGAACCGAAGCTAGATACAAACTGATCCTCCCTTTGATGTTTGTCTATGTGCCCATCTGTCTGTCCGTCTCCATCTGTGTGTGTGTGTTATAAGTTCAACTATGAGGGTCAGTTTCTCTTTGATACATGAATTACATAACCAAGGTTGACAGAGAACTATTACACACTGAACGCACAAGCACATACTGTACTCGCCCCGTCAAAGCTGAACACTCCGGACAGACACAAAGGGGCCCAAACAGCTCATGCTTCCCTGCATCCAAATGTTCTCTTGCCGCGCTATCCTCTGTAACCGCGTATTCTTTCACTCCCATACATGGCTCGAAAATGAAGAGGATCGAAACCTTTTCATACCTTTGGGAAAATTTGATTTCAATTTACAAAATGTTGTCTGTCAAGTGTGAGAAAAGAAATCAGACCCTAAAGCTAATAATGCAACATCTCTGTGGATCCAGTCCAGGGCAGTATTGTCAGTTCTTAACCAGGGCAACTTCAGCAGGATATTACCTACATAACACTCCACTTTTTTCCTTTTCCTTTTTGGAACATCATTTAAAGAAAAATCCTTAATTGTAAATGTATTTCCACATAGTAACTAACTGAAAACATTATATTTCACACCAAAAAGAAAGTAAATAATAATGACTTATTGTAACTAGGGAAGCAACTAAATAACTTTTAATTGTTTGGTCTAATATCAGTAAGAGGCAAAAGATAAAGCAATGAATCAGAAGTTCCAGAGCCTACGGTGCCGTCTTAAATGTCTTCTTTTGTTAAACCAACAGTCCAAACCCCAAATGTTTTCAGTTAACAAACATAGAAGACATAAATTTGAGAATCTGATTGCATGAATTTGCAATTTTAGCTTTAAAAAAATGCTTAATTTACTCAATTATCTAAATGGTTAACGATATTTGTGTGTGTGTAGATCCACTAATCGACCAGTCGTTTCAGTTTGATTTGCAGCAGTGCCAATGATGGTTTATTGAAGATGCTGAAGAATAAAAGCTGGAACAAACTCCCTATAATATGAAGAGTGCGTGATGAGGAAAACATTTTAATTCATTCAAAACATTGCAAGATCCTTCAACACATTTCTAATGTAAATATTTGACATAACGCTGACCACAATCACTGAGGAGAATCCTCATCCAAACCATAGATATACAGTTACAGCTAAGACAGAAGACTCCAGCATCTCATCTTCTTCTGAGAGTGTCCTCAGTGTCTTCACGGGGAGAATCACTGTTGTCATTTGACTCTTTTTCCACTGTGCCCATATATGGCTACAATGCACTTTTGGGAAACAATTTTTTCAGCATCTCTCTACTCTCCCTGACTGAAATGAAAACCAGCTGATGAGAAAGGCTTAAACTTAAAGATGACATCATCATTCCCAACCAATCTCTGCCTCTCTCACTTTGACTTTCTCAGCAGGACAGGGTTGTGATTGTTTATTCTTGAAGTCACACAGCAGAAAAGAGACAAGTCCCGAGAGACTTTAGGCAACTTACACCACTGGGAGCATGTGCGCTTGTGTACACACAGCATGTGCTTTAGTCATGAGCTGATTAGTCGGTATGACTCGCACGGCAAATACAACAAGGCGAACCCAGCTGAAGGAAAACACAATTACTGCTATGCTATGCTTTTCAGCCTTTCACATTCATGTCAAATCGCACTGCACGCATTTTCACTGTCTCCGATGATGTCATTAAGTGGAGGCCACAAAAGGGCCCTCAACACAGCCATCAAATCAGGAGAAGCAGATTTCACGGTTACTATGATGAATCACAGGCTGTGTCATCACAGCTCTTAAAGCTGCATTTGGCATACTGGCTTCAAAAGAGGGTAAAACATGGATGTTACATTTGAGCTGAAACAATTTGTAGATGAATTGATTAGGGGATCGAAAAAAAATGAATTCGCAACTAATTTGATAATGAATTATTTGTGGTACCTTTTTCCAGGAAAAACACCTAAAATTACATACCCAAAATGAATCAGGAATAACTCCTCAACCATTTGGCCTAGATGCATAATTCTGGTCTCCTTTGAAAAGTCAGAAGCTAAGGTATATTGTGTATTAATATATTTATTTTATTTTTACAGACTACATGGAGATGCAATAAAGAAAAAATCGGATATTTTTATCCTCGCCTGGTAAAAGCTATATTTTAATGCAATAAACCATCAAAACCATCCTGAGGAAGCTTTTAATGCAACTGAATATCTTCTAATACACCTAGAATGCAATTGTAACTGTAAATCTGATGAAAATAAACTAAAATACAACAGTTATCATACAACATTTTCAAATATACCAGGCGAATTTCCATATTTTGGCAATATTTATTGTTAAAATGTTGACTTTTATTGATAGATATCTTTAAAACACTTTTTCTGTCCATACAACCAATTTCCAAATTACAAAACATTGAAATATTGATAAAAACATTGATTATTCATCAACATTCCTGTCACCAAAAGCACTCCCATGCTTTACAGGCCTGTAGATTGAGAACGGAACATGATGGGGGGGTATCAATCGATCCAGCTTGAGCAGACCTTTCATTTGATACCTTGCATGTCTATATATCTCCAAGGGATCGGCCACAAAATGGCAAAAAAACACCGTATGTTCTCAAGCAGCATGTTTCCTCTCTGCAGAAAAAGATGACAGCAGGCAGGCAGCTTGCAGGTATTGCGCAATAATCAAGATGGCGCCCGCTTAGACTCGGAGCAACAACATCGGCGGGTTTCGGAGTTAAAATGGTTAAAAAAAAAATTTCTATCAATAATATCACCAAGAGCACCATTGTCCCCAGTACCGGGGGCGTCTGTTTTCAACAGGTAATTTGATTGGTAATTTTTCTGGTAAAATTGTCAAATTTGGAGGTTCAAGCTGTGAGGATTTGCTGTTTATCTTTTATGGGGTGAGCAGGAATAGCCGAAGATTTAATGCTTCCAGAATCATTATGAAACAAGGATCATGCCATTTTAGCTACATGGAGGTGCTCAATGTCGGATTTGACATAGAACTACCCATTTTCTCCCAATAAGTTAATAAACAGCCTATTATGATATAAATATCAACATATAATGCTGTAAATAAAAGTGTGAAAAGAAAGAAGCTTTTTAAAGTGTGTGAATAAATTAAAATTGTAACCCTAACCCTTAAGGAAGGGGGATCAGTGTGCATGTGTGAGTGTAGCGTGCGTGTGTGTGTCTGTGTGTGTGTGTGTGTCTGTGTGTGTGTGTGTGTGTGTGTGTGTGTGAGAGTGTGTGTGTGTTAGAAGAGGAAGAGAGACTGTTGTGAGGAGTTGTGCATGCATCTTGCGGGACATTCAAATCACCATTGATGAACCACACAAACAATATTATATAGTTTTTAAAACGTACTTGGAATAGACACGCGAGGAGGCATGCACACTTTCATTTTCATTCAACACAGATGTTTATGTGTATGATTATGTGTGTATGAGAGAAAAAATAAATACATAGGAAGAAAATAAAAGCATAATAATCCTAAACATGCACACATTTTATATCAGCAGACTCCTCACCTCATTGAAGCGCGCCACCAGGTCCTCCACAGCATTACTTCGCTGAGCACTCTGGGTAGGCATGGTGGGCACTGACAGTGAGGCCTTGAGGTTTGGGTGGCGTTTAGTTTGACACTCTGGAATGCCCATGTCTCGAGTGAGGAAACAGAGGTAGTCCAAGGGAAAGACCTGCAGACAGACAACAGTAGTGAAGGGACATACGAGTGAATTAGTATTACTTCCAGCATAGAAATAGACTTTTTCTCTCGTGATGCATCACGATCACGGTCATTTTCTTCTCATGTTTTACCCATCTCTTAAATATTTATTTTGTCCAACCAAATCCAACACAATAAAATACTAGCTTTTATATGAATTAATATGTTTTCAATTTCATCCTTTGTGCTTATAAATCCTCACTAGCATTAAATAAGTTGTCAAATAAATTAAAAAACACAGGCCACCAACATTAATGTTTGTCTTCCTAGAATATTTTTCATATTTTTTGACCCAGCTATGTGTTTGTGTGCATGTAAGTTCCTCCCACCCGTTGGTAGAGCTGCTGCTCCTGCTCGGTGAGGATACAGGCGATCTCCTCAGGGAACTGAACAAGGTGGCGCACCTCTGCCAACTCCTTACTGATCCCACTGACACTGGGAGGAAGAGAGCTGCTGCTGGTCATACTGTTGGCCAGCTGACGCTCTGGATAGACAGATAAAGGGAGACGGCAGAGAAATCATGAATTGTCCTACTTTTTCCACATGCCATATATATGATTTTAGGTTGCACATTGAAAGAAAAGGGCTTTTGAACATAAAAAAGAGAGAGATTAAGAGAAAGAGGAGAGAGAAGGGTTGATGGAAAGAATGACTTGGCTTCACTAGTATCAAGTACACAAGGACAGCAGAGACCGCTGTTGCTAATACAAATAAAGAAATGGATGGAGAACAGAAATCAGAGAGAGGAGGGATTAAATGTGAGATATTATCTATGCTGATGTTTCCTTTTCATCATAAAAACGTTTTAAGCCTCAATGAAATGTGCATCTCTTTTTCAGGATTAATCTGAATGTTTCAAGTCTTCTGATCCATCAGTCCCTGCATACCATATGCTCTCTTTCCCTCGACCAGCCAAGAGAAGCCTGCACACTTCACCCTCTAGAAGTAAACAGCATTGATCACCTGCCAGTTCCTGTGTTTGGATTTCAGTCAGGTCCATTAGTCTGTCTGTTTACACGCATACACACACACATATGCAAACTCGTCCTCATCTCTGCTAACAAAGGACTAATGGACAGTTTCTACACTGGAGCTGTAGCTGCCAGGTAGACATACTGTACACTGTCGGGATGGATGCCACAGAAACTAACAAGCCCTTTCCATTGCAGGAGCTTCTCCAGGAATCATTTGAGAATTTCCATTCATTTCCAATTGCCATTTGATCGCAGAAATTTACAGAACCTATTTCATTGTCAATGGGACATAGTTTCTGACCACCATGGAGTCCCTTCTTCTCAGGCAGGGACTATAGGAGTGAGGTCTCCAGTGCTGAATGCAGCTGACTGATCAAACCCAAGCTATAACCCACCTTGATATTGTACAGCTTTTATTCCAACGGAAGCAAGCAGCTGTTGCTAGTAGCAATATACCTACAGTAGAGTAAGTTGTGGCAGGCATGTGCATGTGAATTTTTTCATTTTATCTGCACTAAATGGTTCAGAAGGCAGCCAGTTGTCTGCAAAACTAATGCGTTGTTTAGGTTTATAGTACAATACCATGAAAGCAAGGAACCACACACATAAAAAATTGTGTAGGCATACACATATGCAGACACACACTTAAAGGTTGTCCTTGGTAACCCTTGAGATGTGCAGGTTGCCATGGTAACAGCAGTAACTGCTCTGCAGGGGAAAAAATTGCTTATTTACACAGTTTGATTTGTGGATCCGGCCTCACAGCTTCTGCAATGAACTCTCAGTGTGTGTGTGTGTGTGTGTGTGTGTGTGTGTGTGTGTGTGTGTGTGTGTGTGTGTGTGTGTGTGTGTGTGTGTGTTGAGAAGTTGAGAACACAGAGAAAAAAGAAAGGAAGGTAAAAAAAATTGACTTGGAAAGCTGGAGTGAAGGATAAAGCAGAAAAAAGGTCAGTAAAAAAAAAAAACTCCTTACGAAAAAAAATACAAGATAGAAGAAAAATGAAGAGCAGAAGAGAAATGGTGAAGGGGACAGAGATAAAATAGAGAGGAAGGAAGGGATAAGTAGAATAGGTGGAAATTTTGCAGTTTACACTATGAAGCAGGTGTGAGCGATCTATCACAGTTAGAGAGACAGCATAATCCACTAAATCCTTTAAATGTCCAGAGAGGCAGACTACAGGTTATGAACGATGGTTCATTTATAAAGTCCAGACCTGGAATACGTTTTTTCATAGAAATATTTGCATTAAATTAAACAGAGGATAGAAACTATTTAGCTGCTGAAAGAGTCAAAGAGCCTGACGTCCTGAGATTACACAGAAAATAAGGCCTGTATATAAAGTTGCATACTGGAGAAAACTGTTGCTGACAAATTATAATGCATAAATACTGCACCTCTTCGAAATGCTATTTCACACAAGCCCTATGACAGAAATGATGTAGAAACAGCTGCAACAATTAAACAACCAAGAAAGATGTGGTAGCCTACATTTCATATCATGTGAATTTTTTTGAACTTATGGTTCACAACATTTGTCATCTGTCAGCTCTTGGCAAGCACCCAAAAATACCTTAAATATATCCTTAAGGACTGTCTTTGATACTTGGCTTTCCATAAAATACATACTTTTATTTAAACTGGTGTTATATATTGTATTAAAAAACAATTGAAGCATATAACACATAACTTGTGGGGGGTTTTATAGTTCAAAACAATCAAATCTTCCGTTTCTGAAGCACTGAGCAATATCTCCTCATCTCTATCCCAGAATGCTAACCTTCTGAAGTGGAAATGGAGACACCCTTAAATGAGTGATATGAATTTCATGACCATGCAGAGGCCTCAATCATTCATTTATTCATCCTTTAAACTGGGAAAACACAAAGGTGTCGGACAAGGCAGTAACAAAAAGGTCTTAAGAGATTCTGAAGAGAGAAAAATTCAACCATAACACATTGACAAGAAAGAAAACAGCCATGGTGGATACATTACATAAATGTTTATTCTTATAAAGAGCTAAATCTATCATTTTCTAAACATACAAAAACAAGATCTACATTCTCATGAATCACTGTTTTGTGGCAAAGCAGTGATTCCCAAATTAGAATCAGATGAAAAAAATTTATTAAAAATTATCAATGTGCTTTGTCGTGTGTTATTCATGACATCCTCAACTTCTGCCTGCAAAGCTTCACACAAACTCTCCCAATATCAGTAATGACAAGAGAAAACTGTGATAAATAAACACTGGGACTGAAGGCCGGATGGAATGAGATCTTGGATTCCAGTGATGGTGATAAGTGTAACTAATATAATCTGTTGTGAACCCATGAGAGAAAGGCCCCTGAGCCGTTACGGATCATAAACACCAGTTTGAGAAACAATGATTTTATATAACAAACACACAATATATTGATATTGAGCATAAAGCAAGTTTACTGATGTTTATGCATGAGTTTATTCATCTGTAATACAAGCTGAATGCAAATACACTGTGTGTGTGTGTGTGTGTGTGTGTGTGTGTGTGTGTGTGTGTGTGTGTGTGTGTGTGTGTGTGTGTGTGTGTGTGTGTGGAGTAGATTGGCTACACATCCTTTTAAACCATTTTCATGACATTTCAGTTTTAAGAAATAGCATGCCATTAAATAGTCATTTCGGCAGGCCTATTTTTAAACCTAAGCCCTATTTTTTTTATATATATATTTGGAGGTGTAAATGACTAGTAGGTACAAACAGTTTTGGAACTGGTCCAGTAGATTGCCTCAGCTGGCAGACACATAACGGGCTGCCCGTCAAAAGTACTTTGCAGCCCTTGCAGCCTTTTTCCAGCTGAGGTGATTCTAAAACAAAGGATTTACAGATTAAACTTTACACTTCAAATTCATCAAATCACTGAAGCTGAGGAAATTGCTACCAAGTGTGTGTTGTTTCATTAGATTAACAATTAAAATTAAAAAACACTTAATGCCATGATCTGATTCATTATCATTTTCTTTTTATTTGCCACACCACTAATTATAGCAACAGTACCTTTCATTTAGCCGTCTCCACCACTTTACCCATCAGCATATACAGTAGCACACATAAAATCAATGCTTCAAGGTTTTAGAAAACGCCACATCACAGCAAAATGAGTCTTGTTCAGTGAGATACAGTGTCTGTGTATTTTAAATAAATCTCAGTCCACCAATAACTGACTCAGGGGGACTTTTCAGAAGAAAAGGTGTGAAATCTTTCAACACTGCTTTGACGATTAATTTGTTGGTTGAGCAAACAACAGGTTATGTATACCAACCAAAGGAGAGGAACCTTGAACATAGACCCTGCCAACTCTCTTTGCCAGCTATGCACACTGTTCTTCCCAAACACGTTTAGAGCTGATGACAGAGGCAGAAGAGTTGCCCATGTCCACAAATATTGATTGATCCACTGTAGTGATACAGGTGAGTAGGTGCAAAATGTTATAATTAAAATCTCCAACTGCCAAAACTATCAATATGCTGCCAAACTGCAGCACCGGGCAGTCTCACTTTAGATCACAGCAAAACAGTAGTTCCTCTGAATAGTGATTCCATGGCATAAAAAGCATGTAGTAAATAACCGAACAACATCTGGTACTACCTAGTCCTTATTGGCACACACACACGTGCAGGTGAAAGTAAATTCAAGTAAGGTCACATTTGTGCGAATAAAAATCAACAAGTAGTGGTAAACAACAAACTAACACATGGACAACAGTGAACATAAACACGCAAAAATAAACAGTGTAAGGACTCATAATACAGACACACAGCAGCAGCAGAAACAATAAACATTGATCTGTCTGACTGTTGACAACACTGAGTTATGACAGGGAGTTTCGCCCTTGGATCAGATATCTACACTGCATGCACATTGCATGCACTCGCACAACCACCTGCAGACATAAATATAACGTTTAAGTTCTTCCGACCTTTCTTCATCAGTGGGGAGGACTATGACAAAAACCAGGTCGAAGATAAGATGTTCAGACTGATTAAAGCAAAAGGCTCCTTGTTATGAAACCAAAGATTACATTACAGCATCAAATATGTCACATAATACAGTCAAGTGGAAATGCATTTGGAGATTTAAAAGTTTGTTTTACACTACTCTCTTCATGTGAGAGGTATCAGGTCAAACTAATCTGTTAATGAGGCCCATTCAATCTGCAAAAAAAGAAACATAGGACCTTCGCCAAATAAGTTCAGTGCAACTGCACAGCCTGTTTAACTTCACAGTGACATGAAACAAATCCGACAGAACACACAAGTCATTTTGGTGGTTTTGTTTTTAACTGTAAGGTGCATTACTGGATCCTCAGTGTCTAAACATATCTGTAGCCATGTTTGACATTCATTCTTAGGGTCAATTCAATGTGAAGTCGCCCAGAGACACTGACATTCTTGACTGTCATTCTGTCAGGTTTCTGGTATGAAAGGGGCACAGGGAGCGCACTACACTTCCTCACATACGTTTTTCAAACATGCG